ATCCCATGCTCTCTGCAAGAGATTCAGCATTGGGTCTCAACAGGTCTGGTCAGTTTCTGGAGTAGCTAGAATGAGAAACATAGCAAAGTTTGGGATCTATACTGTAGCCATCTTCCGGAAAGACAGAAAAGTTAATCTTAGAAGGCGAGGATGTTCAGGGGAAAGAAGAAACGAGGGCTGCATCCTGGCAGCTGTGTTTGTACCATGAGATTTTACTTTGACTACAGCTGACTGAATTCAAGTGGTAACTAATAAGTGTGTGGCCAGTTAGTCCTTCCCCCAGGTATTGGTGAGAGTCACAGTCTGTATGGTAGGAAATACACAAGTGACACTGGGAAGCTGGGGAGCAGATCTATTCTGTTCCCCATCCAGACCAAAGAAGAAGAGAAGCAGGTTTGTAGCCTGAGAAAAGCACACTGGACTTGATCCCCCAAGTGTTCTCCTCCTGGGACCACTGGTATTCCTGTTTGGTTTCAGGACACACCCTGTGTCTTTGATATAAAGGCCTTATTTATTTACAGAGCTTGATCTCACTTTGTTATCTGCAACCAAAAGAATTCTTTTTTTTTTTTTTAAGATTTATTTATTTATTTATACAGAACCAGGGTACAGACCAGATTCGTGGGAAGGTGAGAGGATTCACCAGAGAAAGAGTGGGGAACAGAATAAGCAGACTGGGGCCGCCCCGGTGGCGCAGTGGTTGAGCGCTGGGTTGCAAAGCTGCCCGCGGCCTCTGCGCCGCCGGTTCGATCCCCGGCTGCTCCCCGGCCACCAGAGGAGGATCCCACATGGTGGGCAGACCTCTCCTGCCCCCGCTGCTCCCCTCAGCAGTGTACTTCGGTCCTTCTGCCTGCTCTGCTCCCCACTCTGGCTCTGGTGAATTCTCTCACCCTCCCGCGCTTCTGACTGTGCCCAATGCATGTATAAACAAAACAAACAAACAAATAAAATAAATAAATAAAACATGCCTCTATAAAAAAAAAAATTATAAAAAAAAAAAAAAAAAAAAAAAAGAATAAGCAGACTGACGAAATACACTGCTGAGGGGAGCAGCGGGTGCAACAGGAGAGGTCTGCTGTGCCATGTGGGACCCTCGCTGGATGACCGGAATGGAACCAGCACTACAGAGGCTGCGGACAGTTTTACAGCGCTGCGCTCAACCACCTGCACCACCAGGGGAGGCCCTGCAGCCAAAAGAATTCTAGATTTTCCAGACTCTGGATGCCCCATAACTTTTGGGTGAGATGTGACAGTGTCCCTCCAATAAATTCATGTTCTGTTCACTTAAGCTAGTTTGACTAGGTCTGTTTGCTTCCAAAAGTTTTTTTTTAAAAAGATTTATTTATTTATTCATACAAGCAATGGATACAGTCAGAAGTGTGGGAGGGTGACAGAATTCACCAGAGCCAGAGTGGGGAACAGAACAGTCAGACTGATGTAGTACACTGCTGAGGGGAGCAGCAGGCGGCAGGAGAGGTCTGCGTGCCATGTGGGACCCTCGCAACCCAGCACTCAACCACTGTGCCACCAGGAAGGCCCTGCTTCCAAAAGTTCTTTGACTGGAACAACATGTGTGTATTGATGACATATGTGTGGAGTTTTGCATATATGTACGTGGAAGTCATCAGTGGACCAAGCTCCCCCACCCATTCAAGATGTTGCTTTATGTGTTTGTTTTCAACTGGTCTCTCTGTCTCTTGCACAATCTTTAGATGCCCCGTGCACACAGCCAGGAGAGGCGGACAAAGAACTGCGGAGAGGGGTTCCCCCATAGAAGCCAAAAAGGGGCTCGGGAGGATCAGCTTTGGCTCCATACCTTAGCTTCAGACTTTGGGTAAATTCTAGATCCACCTCTAAAATCTAAAATGGGAATAATATCCTTTACTTTCCTGCTCACCCAGAATTATTTGGCAGTCTAAGAGAATATGAGATTCAACAATGTAAAGAGCTATTATTTTATAAGGACTATGCAGTAAACACAAAATTGTATAGAAAATTCCAAAAAGATAAGACTAACATGAAAAGGGAAGTAGAAAAAGAATTCACCTGTAATTCTGTTCCCCTCACCCCAATAAATGCCGGTGGACAGATTTTGCTGTATATCCACAAATCTCTTTTCCATGTCTACTTTTTTTCTGACAAAATTGGAGTCCTACTGTTTTAGATGAAGTAGGATTTCTACCCTTTTGGCTCAACAGTTTGTGACTATTTTCCCACATCCTTTCCACTTTTTTTTTTTTTAAAGGAAGCTATATACTTTTTTTTTTTAGGATTTATTTATTTATACAAGAACCGGGGTACAGGCCAGATGTGTGGGAGGGTGAGAAGATTCACCAGAGACAGAGTGTGGAACAGAACAGGCAGACTGACTGAAACACACTGCTGAGCGGAGCAGCAGGTGAGACTGGAGAGGTCTGCCGCGCCCTGTGGGTTGCTCCGTTGCTGGCGGGGATAGAACCAGCACTGCAGAGGCTGCAGACAGTTTCACAGCACTGCACTCAACCATCTGCGCCTCCAGGGAGGTACTCCACTTTTCTTTCAATGGCTGCATGGTACTTCATTCCAGTTATGATTCTTAATTTCCACAACCACCCTCCCACCTCTTTGTTGAAGGACCTTAGACTGGATGGACACTATGGCAGTTTAATAGCGGGAGAGGACAAAGATTCTGGGACAAAGGCAAGAGATCAAGAAAGATTTCATTCCACCTGAATTTTGATTGTGTTTGTGAATTATTGCCTATTCAAATGAATAAAGTTTTCAGAGAACAGTTGAAATTTGAGCTAACTGTTGAAAAATAAATAGAACTTTTTTAGAAGATAAAGATGTGGGCCTCCCTGGTGGCGCAAGGGGTTGAGACGCAACTTATGAAGCTATCCGCAGCCACTGCAGCACGTGTTCGATCCCTGGCTGGCCAGGGAGCTACCCACATGGCACAGCAGACCTCTCCTGTCTCATCCATTGGTCCCCTCAGCAGTGTTTTCAGTCAGTCTGCCTGTTCTGCTTCCCACTCTGTCTTTGGTGAATCCTCTCACCCCCCACGCATCTGGCATGTACCCCGGTTCTTGTATGCATAAATAAATAAAACTTAAAAAAAATGGAATGCTATATTAAAAAAATATATAAAAATGTGGACAGGAGGATTTCCTAAAATAAGGAGAGCACAAGCAAGGCATAGAGGCAAAAAAGAGATGTGGGTTAGGGAAACAGTCTTATTTATCTAGCAAAAGGCCTGATATCAGAAGCTGGTAATGGAGAAAATCAGGAGTTTAACCCAGGTCTGGCTGGCTTCTAAGTGCTCAGCAATAACCACTGTCCTTTTTTTTTTTTTTTTTTTAAGATTTATTTATTTTTACACAAGAACTGGGGTACAGGTCAGAGGTATGGGAAGGTGAGAAGATTCACCAGAGACAGAGCGGGGAACAGAACAGGCAGATCGACGGAAATACACTGCTGAGGGGAGCAGCAGGTGAGACCGGAGAGGTCTGCTGCAACAGTGGGTTGCTCCACTGCCGGCGGGGATTGAACCGGCACTGCAGGGACTGCGGACAGCTTCACAGCGCTGCACTCAACCGCCTGCACCACCAGGGAGGCTCAATAACCAGTCCCTTTGACAGGAATCTGGGCCCTCCTGGATGACATATTGTAACAGGGTGGTCCCCAGGAAAGGGGGAGGTTCCCTGCCCCACCCAAGGGAGGGTGGAGCTGAGCAGGAAGAGGAGAAGCGGCAGAAGAGACTGAGGAAGGAAGCAGGATGGAGCCAGGAGACCTGGAGGAGGCGCAGGGAGCCTAGAGACACGTGAAGAAACTGCGCTTGTCTTTTGGTCGTGGACTGGGTGACACAGATGTGGGTGAGACCTGTGGGGAGGTGACCATGGCAGCTTTTATCTTGATGTTGATTTTGCTCTTTTCCTTCCAGGCTTGTCCGGTTGTTTGTGACCCTTTTCTGTGGGTCCCCACTGGAAGATGCTTTGGACTTGTAGCAGGCTTTGGGGCCTTGTTCTGGGCCAATCCCATTTGGATGGACTTTTACCCACGAGGGGACGGGTAACTCTGGATGCTTCATTTAGAAACTAGACTCTTTGCCTTACCTGTATTGTTTCCTAGTTGTATTAAAGTTCCTTCCCATTAAAGTCTCCTATGTTTTGTGTTGATGCGGCGGATGGCAGAACCCATGTAGAATAGGCAGGTTTGCGGGGTTTGGGCTGCCCCTCTCCCTGTCCTATAACAATATGACATCAATCTGGGGCTAATGGTTTTCCACACTAGGTTTGTAAAATAGATGAATTGGCTTGATTCAGCTTTACTTCCTGCAAATTCAAGTTCTGATTAACCACAAATTATCAGTCACCATGAGTCTGGGGATCAGTTAAATCAACCCAGAGTGGAAAACTGTGCAGAGATGTATAAGAACGTCAAAGAAAACTCTCTATGTTCTTGGAGGCTACTTTGATCTTGTGCCAAGGTCCAGGCTCCATCTCAGAATTCTTCTGCAGTACAGACACAGCCTGCAGGTTCAAAGCATTTGACCCCACTGCCCAAGGTCACTTATAACAGTCCACTGGTAGAAAAAGACCTACCCAGGAACAATTCTGGGCACATAAAATGGCAAACTGTGAGTCTGAGGATTCTGCTACAAAGAACCATTCCAGGAATGATAAACTGGGAATTAGGATTATATACTCCACTTCAACCACTTGTTTCATTTGGCCTGCAAATGGAAAAATATTTGTGGGAAAATATGGACTAGTTCCAAGATTTCTAAATTCTTCTAAAAAATGGGAAAACTTGACAATACTAGGCCCACATTTCCACAGTGGCTGAACTCTGGCTGCCCCATTGGTGTGGTACCTCCCTCCGCCCTGGAGTTTCCACTCAGCCGGGGTTACCCCGAGCCCTGGAGGCACATGAACTTGAGACCCTTGATCTAGGTCATCCCCTTGTTTTATAGGTAAGGGAACTGAATCCTGCAGAGGAAGGGACTTACCTAAGATCACAAAGATTGGAAACTTCAGCTGGTTTCCAAGGTCCAATTTCCAGTCCTGTGTTTCTTTGGGAGCACAAGCCACAGACCAGAAAAAGAGGAACCTTCCTCCCTGACATGAAGGTCAGAGGTTACTGAATGCTAGGGGTCCCACACAGAATTGAATCTCCCTTCCATAATCTCACATGACACACCATGACCATTCTCCCCTTTGCCTGGCTCTTCTCACCTAAACCAGCCTTGGGAATCACCTGGCATTGGAATATAATACATTTCTCACTCAGAGAGGTTCAGCTGCCAGAAAAGAAATCCCCTGGGGCCTTTCTTCCTTATCACTCAGAATTTGGCTGTGGCTTCCTGGAAGCATCCTGCCCTGATCCCCCAGGCTAGGTTCTGTCATCCCTAAGTGCATTCCAGTCCATTCCCTCATCACTGTGTTTCATACTGAATTGCAAACAACAACAAAAGTTTTGATGAAGCATTTACAACACGTGTGCGTAGTAATACTATCACCAACCTCTATAAGAACCCCTTAGACTCTGGGGAGTAAATTTCCCCCAAATCTCACAGCTGAAAATAGGTTCAGACCTCTTTGCCTGATAAGAAGCCAATGGTACCTTCTGTACCTCAGTTTCTAGAATTGGATTTTCAGAATCAGGTGGAACCTCAAGTCCTCAGCACATGGATGCACTCCATCACCTTGACCCCCAATTCTCTACATGAATCTTGCAGTCCCATCTGCACAGATCGGAGCTGGGGAATCACTGTAGAAGTATAACAGGGTGGTCCCCAGGAAAGGGAGGTTCCAGGTTTCCTGCCCCACCCAAAAGGAGGGTGGAGCTGAGCAGGGAGAGAGGAGGCTGCGGAGGAGACTGAGGAAGGAAGGAAGCAGGATGGAGCCAGGAGACCTGGAGGAGGCACATGGAGCCAAGAGACACGTGAAGAAACTGCTCTTGCCTTTTGGTCGTAGATGGCAGAACCTGTTTTGAACAGGTAGGTTTGGGGAGCCTGGGGGGCTCCTCTCCCTGCCCTGTAATGAAGGATCACAAAGGTGCTCAGCAGTGTTTTTGGTAAATGTGGACCATGGATTGCCAATTTCTGTCTATATCTCCACCGACCCCTCATGTCAGCCCAGGATTAAGATGAATGACCATAAATCAATCTGCAGTGACACCCCAAACTCCTGAGCCTGAATGAACTGGACGCTCATTTAGCAAAGCTCTGATAATTTATATTATTTCCTTCTGAAAATCTAAACATTGGATTTCTGAACACATTTCTGTTGTTTTAAGCCCCCTCCCCAAACCTATTTGTCTCCCAGAACAGTAGAAAAAATCTTGTAAAAACACCACACACGCCCGATAAATTGTCTTCCGCCCTCTACTTCCAGTGCAAATAAAAGCAGATGATCATTTTCAACCTTCTGCTTTGATATGAAAGATGTTGATCTCAGCACAGACTCTAACAGCAAAGTAAAAGAATACAACCTAAACGCCCAACATAGAAAACTAGTTAAAAAGTCAAGGTACAAGTATCCACCCAGTAGGAAAGTTTTGCAGCCAGTAAATATATTTACTTATTTTACTTTGAATGTTTATGTAGTGACTTGAGAAGGACTTGTGATATTCTGGATTCTTTATTGCTTTTCAAAGTATGAAAGTAATCCCTTTTCATTATTAACATAAAGTAAAACGCTCTAGAAGTGTTTAATGTAAAAAGTGAGACTACCCCACAAACACACCTACTGCCAAGGCCAGCATTAACACACAATGTATTTGTGATCTAATGTTATGGTTAAGAAGCAGGATAAAATTACATATGTTCGTTAGTATTTTTTTAAAGATTTATTTATTTATGCATACAAAAGCTGGGGTACAGGCCAGATATGCGGGGATAGGGGGGTGAGAGGATCCACCAGAGACAGAGTGGGGAGCAGAACAGGCAGACTGAACTGAAATACACTGCTGAGGGGAGCAGCGGGCAAGACAGGAGAGGTCTGCTGCACCATGTGGGTTTCTCCCTGGCGGGCTGGAGATCGAACTCATGCTGCAGAGGCTACGGACTGCTTCATAGTGCGGTACTTAACCCCCTGCGCCACCAGGGAGGCCTCTCATTAATATTTTTTTAACTATACATTGAAATAGGAAAAAAAAAAGAATTATCTGTACGCCCATGCTTATAGCAGCATTATTCATGACAGTTAAAATGTGGGAGGATCCACATGTCCATCAGTGGATAAATGGATAAGCAAAACATGGTATAGGTATACCTCATTTTATTGCACTTTGCTTTATTGCATTTCACAGATAGTACATTTTTTTTTTTTCACAAAATAAAGGTTTGTGGGCCTCTCTGGTGGCACAAGGGTTAGTCTCAGAGCTATCACCGCCACAGCCTGGGTTCGATCCCAGGCCAGGGAGCTACCCCACATGGCATAGCAGACCTCTCCTCTCTCATCTGTTGCTTCCTTTAGCAGTGTATTTCAGTCAACCTGCCTGTTCTGCTCCCTACTCAGTCTCTGGTGAATCTTCTTACCCCCCACACTTCTGTCCTGCACCCCAGTTCTTCTACACATAAATGCATCCTTTAAAAAAAAAAAATGAAGGTTTGTGACAAGCCTGCATTGAATAAATCCTAGGCATTTTCCCGGCAACATACTCACTTTGGATCTCTGAATCATGTTTTGGTAATTCTCACAATCTTCCTAACTTTTTCATTATTATTACATCCATCATGGTGACAAATACAATAATAATGTGACTACTGTAATTGTTTTAGGGAGCCACAAAACATGCCCACCCTTAAATGTTATGCATGTTCTGTCCACTCCACCAACAGGTCCTTCCCGGGCTCTCTCCCTCTCCTTAGGCCTCCATGAAACACAACAATGTTGAAATTCTGCCAATTAATAGCCCTACAATGACTTCTAAGTGTTCAAAAGCTAGAAATGATTAAGCTGAGTGAAGAAATCATGTTGAAAACCCAGACAGAAAGCTAGGACTCTTGAGCCAAACAGGTAAGTTATAAATATAAAGGAAAAATTCTTGGAAGAAATGAAAACTGCTATTCCAGTGCATATGGATAAGAAAGTGAAATCACCTTATTGCTGAGCAGAGTTTTAGTAGTCTGGATAATAGATCAAACCAGCCACAACATTTCCTTAAGCCAAAACCCAATCCAGAGAAAGACCCAACCTCTCCTCAGTTCTGTGAAGGCTGAGAGTGAGAAGGCTGCAGAAGGAAAATTCTAAACTAGCAGAAGCTTTTTGAGAGGTTTAAGGAATGAAGCCTCTGTAACAAAAGTGCAACATAAAGCAAGTCCTGATTTGGAAGCTGCAGCCAAGTAGCAAGAAGACCTAAGCTACATTAAACGACAGATTTTCAATATGGACAAAACATTCTTCTGTTGGAAGAAGATCCATCTAGGACTTTCATAGTTAGAAAAAAGAATCAATGCTGACTTCAAAGCTGCAAAGGCTGACCCCTCGTTAGGGGCTAATGCAGCTGGTGACCTCAAGTTAAAGCCAATCAATGCTCATTTACCAGGTCCAGAAATCCTGGGGCAGTTAAGAAGGAAGCTAACCTGAGGCCTCCCTGCTGGCCCAGGGGTTAAAGTCTCAGAGCTATCAAGCCATCGCTTGCCACTGCAGCAGGAGTTTGATCCCCACCAGGGAGCTAACCCACATAGGGCAGCAGACCTCTCCTGTCTTGCCCGCTGCTCCCCTCAGCAGTGTATTTTAGTAGATCCGCCTGTTCTGCTCTCTATTCTATCTGGTGTATCCTCTCACCTCCTGCACCTCTAACCTACACCCCAGCTCTTGTATGCATAAATAAATAAATCTTTAAAAAAATGTTGTTTTCATGTCTGCATCCATTCTGCAGTACACGGATCAAGAAGTCAGTTTGACTTTCAGGTCTTACTATTTAAGAAATACATTTCCTAAGTCTATACCTGTCATGGATAGTGATTCCTCTGATGGAGCTGGACGAAGTCAATTGAAAGCCTTCTGAAAAGGACTTACCATTCTAAATGCCATTAAGAACATTCATGATTCATGAAGGTGGTCAAAATATCAACATGAAAGGAGTTTGGAGGAAATTGATTCCAACTCTCACAAATGAATTTAAAGGGTTCAAGACTTCAGTGGAGGGTCTCCCTGGTGTTGCAGGGGTTAAGTCTCAGAACTATCAAGCTATCCCCAGCCACTGCAGCACAAGTTCCATCCCAGGCCAGGGAGCTACCCACATGGTGCAGCAGACCTCTCCTGTCTCACCTGCTGCTCCCCTCAGCAAAGTATTTCAGTCAATGCACTTGTTCTGCTCCCCACTCTGTCTCTGGTGAATCCTTTCACCCACCTCCCACCTCTGGCCTACACCCCAGCTCTTGTATACATAAATATAATAAATCTTTAAAAAAAAAAAAAAAAGAGGGTGGTACTTAAGCCTTTAACAGGCAAATTTTACATGACGGGTATTTTGAGTCGCGGTCAGCTGGACTCAACAAGCATGAAATAACTCTTTGCATCCCCAGGCCGCATCAAAGGTCCCTCTGCGAGGGCTGGGGAACAGAAGTGACCCAGGGACCACTTTGCCTTTTCAGAGTCTGGTGGCGCTGACACGAAGTGCCCCAAAGGAGTGGCCCATCGACTCACCCATCACCCCTAAATCTGCAGCGAAACGTTTAACTCAACGCCAAGCACCATCCTTGTTCAAGCTGGCGACCCCCTGCACCCCCACCCCCGCCCACACCCCTACCCCCGCCCACACCCCTACTCACGCTCTCGTTGGACACTTAAATGGTTTCCGGTTTTCATTATTAGAAGGAGCGCTTCAGAGAACATTCTTGAACGTACATCTTGGAGCATAGCTGTGTTTATTTCATCAGATTCCTACGAAATTTATGGGTCAAAGGGTAAGTATTTCTTAGGTTCTTAAAACATTGCCAAAGCACTTTCCAGAAAGTTGCAACAATTTACCTTCCCAGCAGCAGGGGACCGGAACACCGGGTTCTTCAGGCCCTCCCCAGCCACAGCGGATGATCTTTTTCTTGTACTCACTGAAAAAATATTTGAGGGCAGTGCACTGGGACAAAGGAGTAGCTCCCCCGGCCCCGCCCCCACCCCGTCCCCCTACCCGGAGGCGCTGTGAGACTGTCTAGAGGGAAGGGAGAAAATAGAAGAGGTAATTATTACCTTGAGTACCTTGAGGAGTAGTGGGTCAGAGGTGTGGTGGGAAGCTTAGGGCACTCTTGGAAGCCTAACAGGGTTTAGCTACCCTGGGGCAGCCTCCTATAAGGAAGCTGCATTTAAAAAGAGACCAATTAGTATGGAGGAACTAGCATTGGCTTTTACAGACCATTTTTATTTTCTCCTTTGTCAATTGCCTGCTAGTGTCCTTCACTCATTTTATCCTTTAAAGTACTAAAAAAAAGTGTTTATGGGGCTTCCCAGTGGCCAAAGGGTTAAGCCGAAGCACTATGAAGCTGTCAGCAGCCACTGTGGCCTGAGTTCCATCCTCAGACAGGGCGCTACCCACATGGCGCAGCAGACCTTTCCTTGCCATGAGTTTACCCCTCAATCCCAAGCCTTTCCTCTATGAGTTAACAGGAAAGTCAGGAATGGTGAACCCAGAATGGGAACTGGAGAATTGGGGCGCTGGTACATCTAGGCGGATGTAAAAGGGAGTACTGCCTCGACCGCTAAGTGAGGCTTTGAGAAGGTGCAGTAATGTCTTTTATATGGGCAGTGTTGAAGAAAGGAAGGGGAGAAAATGAAAGAGCATCTTTTGTAGGTAATTTTTAAAAAACATGTATTTCTAGACTATTTTTTTTAAAGATTTGTTATTTATTTATGCATACAAGAGTTGGGGTGTAGGCCAGAGGTGTGGGGGTGGTGGTGGTGAAAGGATTCACCAGAAACAGAGTGGGGAGCAAAACAGGCAGATTGACTGAAATACTCTGCTGAGGGGAGCAGCGTGTGAGTCAGGAGAGGTCTGCTGCGCCATGTGGGTAGCTCCCTGGCTGGCTGCCAATAGCTTCATAGTGTTGAGACTTAACCCCTTCTGCCACCAGGGAGGCCCCTGGAGTGTTTATTTTTAAGTTGATCTTTAAAAACTGTTCTATATTAAAGTTAGTAGCTCTGTCATATGTGTTTTCTTCAGCCACTTGCCTCCCGCCTGCCCCCGCATGCATGCACCGTGGTTCATCATCCGTTATGTCCCTGGCCCCCATGCCACCAGCGGCACTTTAATTCTCCATAAGTGAATCAGGAACAAAAAAAGAAGACCCTCACAGATTTGAGAGTAGAAAATATACAAAAACTGCACATTGGGAATTCCCCCTTACTTTTTTTCCCTGAGTCACTGAAGGGGAATTAAGGTGCAGATGGAGACACAAAGGCAGGAAATATGGCTGAAGATAAACCAGGGCTCATGGGGACCCTGTCAGGCCCTGAAGACCACAGCACAGAGGGCCAAGATAACCAGGATGGGTGGCAGGAGGCAGCAAGCCACCTCTGAGCCTGTGTCTCTTGTGGGATCCTTGATGAAGCTCAAAGAGCTGGACCTCCGGAACAGGTCCAGTTTTTCTCAGTCACAAAGGACGCCCAATTGTCAAGAAAGAAGAGAGGTTCAGAGTTCAGAGTTCAGTGCCTGTTGGTCTCAGGGTAGCCTGTGCTCCATAAACCCTACCCCTCTACTTGTGAGCCTGGGACCAGCCATCTCTCTTCCTAGTTACTCACCTGTAAAAAGGCAGGAGCAATGATCCTACCCGCAGAGGAAGGCTGCGAAGACTAAATGAACTTCTGGCACAGTCCACTCAGAACTGTACTGCGGCAAGGGGCAGAGTTAGAACCTGAACTCGTGTCTGCCTGCTTCAAACCCTGAGCTCTGCTCCTGGCGAGGTGCCGTGATTGCTCTATGAATAATCGTATTGCAGTAATGTTATTGGGGAGCTAAACAGCCCAGGATTCAAGAAAATCAGAGAAGGTGGACTGGCTTCTTACCACTTCTGAGCAAGCCAGGTAAAGGTGAGGCCTAGTTTCTTACTGTCCTGCAGGAACACGCTTCCCTTTAGCACCTCCTCCTGTTGGGTCCCTGGCAGACTGGGGCCTGGATGCCACTTAGCCTTGCTGCATGCACTTTGGGCTGTCCCTTTGTCCTCCCTCACAGGCGATTCCTGTTTCCCCACCTGAAAATAAGAACCCCAGAGTAGCTACCTCATAGGGGTGAGAAGGTCCCGTGGCTGCAGTTAGTACTCAACACAAGCTGGCTGTGATTATGATGCCCTGTGTCCCCCAACCCCCACACCTCTGGCCTGTACCCAGCTCTTGTATGCATAAATTAAAAAAAAAAATCTTAAAAAAAAAAAAAAAGGAAAACACTGTGAGAGCTTTGAGGAGTTATCTCTTGGATCTGGGCTCACAGAAAGGATGCCCCACGGGGAGTGGGATCCCCAGGGCTGGAAGAATTTGAAAAACTGGGGAGAGAAGCCACAAGTCTTTTTCACTTTCTTATTTATTGCCCTTCTCCTCCCCTAAACTGTGGGCTTAAGAAGGGTGCGGTCCATGGTTTACCTTATTCACTGCTGTAGCCTTAGCACCTAAAACCAAACCAATGCCCAAAACCTGGTGCTTAGTAGGTGCTCAATAAATACTGCTCTAGTGAGCAAACAACCTTGACAGCTCCATTTAGTCTTGGAGATGAGGATGCTCTCAGTTTGCCATCCAGCTGGTGTTCTGCCAAAATGGAGGCGCATGGTTTCCACGGCAACAGAAGAGTGCCCTCCAGACCAGCAGCAGGAGGCAGACACAGGGATTGTGAACTCTGCATCTTTTTAAGGTGTTGCCAGAAATTGGGAACTGGGCTTCTTCAATAGATGTAGAGGGGAAAGGAACTTCATAAATATGTTAGTTAGTTTGTTTTCTGGACAAGTTTGTCAAGTCAATGAATACTCAGACAGGAAGTCTGGGGTCTTTGAAGGAGGGTAGGACGCTCTTAATGCGGGGGAAGTTCAGGGACTTAAGAATTAAGTTTGGTTCTCGTCTGGACCCTGCTGTGTCACTTTGGAAAAGTTACTTAACATCTCTGAGCCTCAGCATGACATTCATAAAATGGAAGGTTTTGGGGCCTCTGTGCAAGGGGTTAAGTCTCAGCACTATGTAGCTATCTGCAGCCACTGCAACAGGAGTTCAATCCCCGGCCAGGGAGCTAACCCACACGGTGCAGCAGACCTCTCCTGTCTCACCCGCTGCTCCCCTCAGCAGTGTATTTCAGTCACTTCTGCTCCCCACTCTCTCTGGTGAATCCTCTCATTCTCCCCCCCACCCCCACTGCACCTCTGGCCTATACCCCAGTTCTTGGATGCATAAATAAATATTTTTTTATAAATGGGAGGTCTGAGGGGCCTCCCTGGTGGCACAGGGGGTTAAGATGCAGCCTCTGAAGCTGTCTGCAGCCACTGCAGCACAAATTTAATCCCCGCCAGGGAGGTGATCCACATGGTGCAGCAGGCCTCTCCTGGCTCACCCGCTGCTCCCCTCAGCAGTGTATTTCAGTCAATCCTCCTGTTCTGTTCCCCCACTCTGTCTCTAGTGAATCCTCTCACCGCCTGCAACTCTGGCCTGTACCCCAGTTCTTGTATGCATAAATAAATCTTTAAAAAAAATAAATGGGAGGTTTGACAGCTCTAAAATTACTTATAAAAATACAAGTGTGATAGTAATATAAAATGGTGCAGTCTCTGTGGAAAAGTCTGTTGGTTCCTCAAAAAGTCAAACATAGAATTATCACAGGACCCACTGGAGGTATATACCTAAGAGAATTAAAAACAGGTACTCAAATACTTATAAATGAATGCTTACAGCAGTATTTTTCACAAAGTCAACAGGTCATCAGTGAATGAATGAAGAAAAGGTGGTGTATCCATACAAAAGAATTCAGCCATAGAAAGGAAGGATGCATTGGTACATGCTACAACATGAACCTTGAAAACATTATGCTAAGAGAAAGAAACCACTCTCAAAAGCTCAAATATTGTATGAATCCATTTATACAAAGTATCTAGAACAGGTAAATCCATAGAGACAGAATCCAGATGGTGCTTGCTGGGAGCTGGAGAAAGGGGGTGAGTGGGGCATGACGGCTTAATGGGCACAGAACTGCACTGCTAAGGTGACATGGAGGAGGAAGGTCCCAAACCTAGTCAGAACTGGGATCTGCACCTGTCTCTGGCCAATTCCCCAGGGTGGGATCCTGGGCTTTATATTCAAACTCCCAGAGCTTTAAGCACCCTATTTGCAAAATGGGGCTAATCGATGTTCTCCTTTCCTCCGAGCACTGAGGATGAGGGTTCTGAAGCATTCTGTTAACCCACCTCCTTCACCCTCTGCCATGAAGCTAGTCACTGCACCGTCTTCTAAGTACTGCACGTGGGGCCATTCCTAATTATTGTGGAGCCACTGAAGGTCTTCCAAAGCCACTGTCAGGAGGGGGAGCACGCAGGTTAAACAGCTGTGATCCTGGCTTAACCAATGTACATGTGGCCTCTGGCAAGTCACCAGATCCCTCAGTTTACCTTCAACGGTAGAACGGAGTGGCTGTACCTATCTTGGAGAGAGGATGTGTGTATACCACAGGCACAATAGTCAGACCCCTCTCTCTCTCTTTGTGGCTGGATATTCCTAGCAGCAAGCTGGAGCACAAAAATTGCCAGTTGCTAGAATCTCCCAGCTCTGAGAGGTTAAGGCATTACCCGGTGGTGGAAGAACTGGTCAGTCTGGGCTTAGAACACAGATTGCCTGCCTCTTGAGTTCAGGAAACTTTCCTTAAATCTTAAGGATCTGGGCACAGATCCCTGGTGGCCCAAGGGGTTAAGCACTGCACTATGAAACAACCCGCAGCCTTGGCAGCACAAGTTTGATCCCCGGCTGCCAGGGAGCAACCCACGCGGCGCAGCAGACCTCTCTTGTCTCACCAGCCCGCTGCTCCCCTCAGCAGTGTATTTCAGTCACTCTGCCTGTTCTGTTCCCTGCTCTGTCTCTGGTGAATCCTCTCACCCCCAACCCCTGCATCTCTGGCCTGTCCCCCAACTCTTATATACATAAATAACTCTTAAAAAAACAAAAACAAAAAAACCCCTTACGGATCTTTTAATTAATTTATTTATTAAATCTCCAACGGGCGAATGGCACCTAATATGCCCTAAGGGGGAGGTGTGCAAAATGGGGCTAATCTATGTTCTCATTTCCTCAGAGCAGGGGCCCGGTGCAGAATTAGGCGCTGTGCAGACATGACCTTGGAAGCCTCACCACCTCATGAGACAGGTGTTGCTGTCCCGTCGCACAGATTCTAAAACTGACTCTGCGTAGAGCAGGCTCGGAGAGACCAAGTGACTGGAACCAGAACACACGACCAGAGGGAGGTCTCCAATTTGAACTCGGATCCTCCCGCCGCGCCGCGCCCGGATGCCCCCGACACCCTCCGGCGGGCGGGCGGGCGGGGAGGCTGCGGGGGCGCCGGGCCGCGCATTTGCGCCCGCACCCACACGCCCCTCCCCGCACGGCGCTTCTCCTCATGGAAGCGCTCAGTTTGGAGCCGTGCAAAGTTTGGCACGCACACTTCGCTCCCTCTTTGCAACTGTGGGAACTTCCCGCCCGCGCACGCGGCGCCTGCAGCCTGGGGCTCCGAGCCCGGCGGCCCCTCGGCGGCCGCCGGCGCTGCCCGGGCGGGCGAGCCCCGGGGTCCGAGCCGCGCTCCGCAGCATCCCCCGGCCCGGGGACAAAGCGCCCGGGCCCGCCGGCGGGGCCCACGGCCTGGGCGCGGGGCGGCTCGCGGGGCGGCGATGCTCGCGGCCAGCGGCGGCCGAGGGGCGCGCCCCTCCCCCCTCCCCGTCCCCCTTCCCGTCGGAGGGGCTGCCGGGGTGCGCGGGGGCCCCCTGCTCCCGTCCCTCGCGCTCGCTCCTCCGCCGCCGCCTTCCCGAGCCGAGCCGGCGACTTCCCGCGGCCCGGGGCACAAAGCCCGGCGAGCCGCGGTCCGCGGGGGAGGCCGCCCGAGGGCCGCGGCGCGGAGGGCACGAGCCGCCCCGGGGGTTCGGCCTGCGCCGAGCCGGACCCCGGGCCCGCTTCGGGGCTGGGGGCGGGGGGGGCGGGCGCCGGCGACTCGTGGGGATTCCGCGCGCCGAAGGGGGCTCCGCAGGGTCCCCGCTGCGCGCTCGGCTCACGGGTGCGCATCGCAGGCCGGGGCCGGGGGGCCCCCACCCGCAGGAGCCCCCGCGGCGCGCTCCCCGCCCCCCGCCCCGTCCGCTCCCCGCGGCTCCCGGCGGCCGGGGAGGGGCGGCGGCGCTGGTTCGCTGGCCGGGCGCGTCGTTTGCATCGGCCGGGGGGGCCGAGGCTGCAGCCCCCGGCCCCGCGGGCGGGGTGGGGAGGCGGGGGCCGGCCGGGGGCTCAGCCCGCGCGAGCATTGGCGGAGCCGGGGAATGGGGAGGGGGGGCAGGAAGCGGGGGGAGCGGCGCGGCCGGGGGGCTGTATAAATAGGGACGGGGGACGTGCATCCTCGGCGGGGCGAGGGGGGGGCGCTCGGCACAAAGAAAGTGGAAAGTTTGCCGCGCGCGGCGGCGCAGGCCGGGGCTCCGGTGCGCACGTGCGAGGCCGGGGGCGCCGGGGGCCCCCCACGCCGAGCCGGCCGTTGCTTTTTTTTTTTTTTTTCCTGCAAGCGAGAGGGGGGGTGTTGTTGGTATCGCCCCCTCCTTCTCCTCCCCCCAGGGGTGAAAGTGCAAGAGGAAGTGCAGCCGCTGCCATCTTTCCTCCGCGCCGCGCACACGGAGGCCGGGGCCGCAGCGCCGCGTCGTCGCAGGCTCCGCCGGCCGGGAAGGGCCGCTCCCGCCGCCGCCGCCGCCCGCCGCGCCCGCCGCCCGCGCCCGCCGCCGCCGCCGCCGCCCGCCGGGCCCCGGGACCGCCCGCGCCGCCGCCCCCGCGCGCGCCCGGCCGCCGCCGCCTTCGCCTTTTGTTTCCTCCGCGCCGGCGCCCCCGCCCCGGCTCGCGCTTTGCAGGGGACGCAGCGCGCGCCCCCAGCGGGCCCGGGAACAGCCGCGGCGCGCGCGCCTGCGCGGCCGCCCCGCCTCCGCCCCGCGCGCGCGCGCCTCTGCCGGCCGCGCGCCGGCGCCGCCTGGCGGCGGGAGGGGAGGTGGCAGGCGCGCCTGCCGGAGGGGCGCACCTCGGCGCTCGCGCCCCCCCCGCGAGGTAGACCGCGCGGCCGAGGCGGGCGGGCCGGGAGGAGAGAGGCGCGCCCGATCTAGCCGGGGTGGGGGCAGCGATGCGGGGGGTGCTGTGTTCTGTGGTCTAGACGGCCTGATCCGGGCAGGGGGCGTGTGCGCTCGGCGCACCTGCGGGACTGTAGCGACCCGGGCCGGCACGTGTGGGGAGTGTGGGCGCGTCCGCTGCGCCCCGCTTCTCGTGGCCGGAGAGAAGGGAGGGGGGCGGGCAGGTGCCGCGGCCCGGCTTGTGGGGAGGGGGCGGCGGCCATGGAGCGGGTGAACGACGCTTCGTGCGGCCCGTCGGGCTGCTACACCTACCAGGTGAGCAGGCACAGCACGGAGATGCTGCACAACCTGAACCAGCAGCGCAAAAACGGCGGGCGCTTCTGCGACGTGCTCCTGCGGGTGGGCGACGAGAGCTTCCCCGCGCACCGCGCCGTGCTGGCCGCCTGCAGCGAGTACTTTGAGTCGGTGTTCAGCGCCCAGTTAGGCGACGGCGGAGCTGCCGACGGGGGTCCCGCCGACGTGGGGGGCGCCGCGGCGGCCCCGGGCGGCGGGGCCGGGGGCAGCCGGGAGCTGGAGATGCACACTATCAGCTCCAAAGTGTTCGGCGACATTCTGGACTTCGCCTACACGTCCCGCATCGTGGTTCGCTTGGAGAGCTTCCCGGAGCTCATGACGGCCGCGAAGTTCCTGCTGATGAGGTCGGTCATTGAGATCTGCCAGGAAGTCATCAAACAGTCCAATGTGCAGATCCTGGTGCCCCCTGCCCGGGCCGACATCATGCTCTTTCGTCCCCCTGGGACTTCGGACTTGGGCTTTCCTTTGGACATGACCAACGGGGCGGCCTTGGCTGCCAACAGCAATGGCATCGCAGGCAGCATGCAGCCCGAGGAGGAGGCAGCCCGGGCGGCTGGTGCAACCATTGCAGGCCAGGCTTCCCTGCCTGTGTTACCTGGGGTGGACCGCTTGCCCATGGTGGCTGGACCCCTGTCCCCCCAACTGCTGACTTCCCCATTCCCAAATGTGGCATCCAGTGCCCCTCCCCTGACTGGCAAGAGAGGCCGGGGTCGCCCAAGAAAGGCCAACCTGCTGGACTCAATGTTCGGATCCCCTGGGGGCCTGAGGGAGGCAGGCATCCTTCCCTGCGGCCTGTGTGGGAAGGTGTTCACTGATGCCAACCGGCTCCGCCAGCACGAGGCCCAGCACGGTGTCACCAGCCTGCAGCTGGGGTACATCGACCTTCCTCCTCCAAGGCTGGGTGAGAATGGGCTACCTATCTCTGAGGACCCCGATGGCCCCCGAAAGAGGAGTCGGACCAGGAAGCAGGTGGCATGTGAGATCTGCGGCAAGATCTTCCGTGACGTGTATCATCTCAATCGGCACAAGCTTTCCCACTCTGGGGAGAAGCCCTATTCCTGCCCCGTGTGTGGGCTGCGGTTCAAGAGAAAAGATCGTATGTCCTACCATGTGCGATCCCATGATGGGTCCGTGGGCAAGCCCTACATCTGCCAGAGCTGTGGGAAAGGCTTCTCCAGGTGAGGAAAGGTGCCCTCTCCCCCATCTTGACCTGTCCTATTCCTGGCTCCTGGGGACAGCTCCTTGCCAAGATCTGAGGGTGTGGGACTTGTGGGGGTCACTTGATCGTACGGGGCCATGTCAGGTTTGGGCTGAGTTTTAGTGGCCCTGATTTTGAGATGGTGTGGCCAAGAGCTGCTTACTCTTCCCTCGGGGAAGTTCCCTGTGCGAGGCGTGCCCTGCTGTCTCTCTTCCTTGGGGCCTTGTGGGTAGGGGCTGGATTCCTCAGGCCACAGCCACAGGGCCTCACCATTCTTCTCCCTGGGCTCCCTTTGTGTTTCCGGCACCAGGCGTGGGGCCCCCTCTGGGGGCGAGAGGCTGGGCTCCTCCAGCAACTTTCCCCGCTTGAATGGCTGCCGAGGGAGGGGCTGAAACAAGTGCATCTGGGAGTCCTGACGCCACCCTGCCACCATATCCCTCAGCCCAGCACTGGTGGTCCTGGGTGGGTAGGCTGGTTTGCCCCTCAGAGCCCCCTGGAGTCAGAGGGCACCGAGTTTGGCACCCAGAGTCCCTTCTTAACACGGAAATCTTTGATCTGCCCCAGAGCCAAACTGAGCCCACAGATCCCCTTTATGTTTTCAGGACAGAGAGGAAGGGGGGCAGGATGTCTGTTTAGATTCACTTTCTAGCGAGCCCGACAGGGAACTGAAGCAGCTCCGGGAGCAGTAGGTTGTTTTGTTTTCCTCTTAATATTCAGAATAAAAGACTGGTTTTAACTTGCCTGGATACTGAGGACCTTGTGTGTGTGGACCCAGGGATGGAGAACTCCCTCAGAGGGGCCCCAAGCTGAAACCAGTCTTACCGGTCAGGCAGCCCCTGCCCACCTGCTCAGACGGGCATCTGGTTTACCAGCCCAGCTGGGACTTCAGGCTTCATCCCATGGCCTCTGGGGACTGAATTCCATTCGGGTGGCATTCATTGGCTGTGTGGCGGGAGAGGGGTTGGGGGTGGGGAAGGCTGAGTTTCTAAGGGGCTTTCGTCTGGACAATGAATCACACATACCCCCTCCCGGAAAGGCTGCAGCGAGGCAGCCCCGTCTCATTCGAAAGCCACCTCCTCGGTCCTAGAAATCATTGAGTTTCTGGTGGGGGGAGGCGGGTAGGCAAGGTCAGAGACGAGTGCTCACTTCCCTTCCCCCTCTAGAGAAAACCAGGGCAGAGAGGCCTGGGGCTCGTGTAGTCAGAGCTGGGTGGTGACTTTGTCTTTGTCATGCTGGGGTGGTGCAGAGGGAGTCCTCTCCAGCAGTGTTGTGTGCGCCGTGTGGGAGGGGGGCCAGGCCAAGTTTGTAGCCCCCGTATTTCGACATCTTGTTTTAAAGTCTCTTGGTTCTCTCTCTTCCAGGCCTGATCACTTGAATGGACATATCAAGCAGGTTCACACTTCAGAACGGCCTCACAAGTGTCAGGTAGGGACCGGGCCAGGGCAGAGATGGGCAGGAAAATGCTGCTGTTCTCACAGCCTCGGCCATGATGTGTGCTGGGCTGGCTGGCTGACCACCGCTTTGCACACCTCCCCCTCTGTCCCTCCACCCTCCGTCTGCTCTCCTTTGTTCTTCCCCCCAGCCCCATCCCCCCCACTGCTGATGTCCCCTCCTTCCTGGTTGCTGGGTCCTGGTTCCCACCCTGTCTCGTCTTTGCTCTGTTGCTTGGCTTTCCTCTCCCGGCGTGTGTCGGCTCCTTGGATGGCGGGGCACGTTGTGTAAGTGTCCTGGGGCTCCCCATTGGGCCTGGCTTCTGGTTCCCAGCAGCGTGCAAGGGCCCCCGTGGGGAGGGAAAGGTCGGTGAAGGGCTCCTGGTGGTCTCGTCTCTTCCCCTGTGGCCAGACAGCCTGCCCTGAGGGGGCGCTCCTTCTGGGTCCCCTCAGACAGGAGGGGTGGGTGGCCTCACCTCCTAGCACTGGCACCTGTTTATCCCATCCTGAGCCAAGTGTACCAACAGTCAGGGTTTCTGAGGACTGGAAAGCAAGGTGGTCTCTCTTCCTTGTGAACGCTTTGTGTAGCTAGCAGTGTAGGGAAGGCTGGGCACGATTCTCACCCTTGGTTTGTTTCTGGAACAACATGTGGGGGTCCTGTGGTGCCCAGAAAAATTTGAGTCTCCTTTCCTGACCACTGTGTATTCCTGTGTGGATGGAAAACACACCTGACTTCTCCTTGGTTATGTCCTCTCCTGTGCCAAGTCCCCCCCTGTGAGGGAGAGACAGAGTTGTGGGATGCTTACTACAACCTCTGGTAGGATAACCTGCTTCTCTTTTCCTGTTGGTGGCAAGGAGGGAGGGTTCCTGTAGAGAGGGACGGATGTGCTGTAGGTAGGGCAAAGAGCCAGGGTCCTGGTGCGGACACTGTTCACAGATGCCAGGCTAGGCGGCCTCCCGAGGAGAATGACTCCGGGTGGGCCTGCTGGGATCTGTCTTTGCCTCATTGCTTCCTCTCTTTCTCTCTCTCTCTCTCTCTCTCTCTCTCTCTCTCTCTCTCTGGTTCTCTGATTCTCTCATCATAGAGCACATTCTGACTCTCCCAGGTAGTGTGCTGAGCACCCAGGGCAGAGTAGGAGGAGCCCAGAGGGCAGTGGGGATGTGCCCGGTGGCCTGGGGGGGTAACCTGCACTCTCTGCCCTTTTTCCAGGTGTGGGTTGGGAGCAGCAGCGGCCTGCCGCCCCTGGAATCTCTTCCTAGCGAACTGCCATCATGGGACTTTGCCCAGCCTGCTTTGTGGAGGTCGTCCCATTCGGTTCCTGACACCGCCTTTTCCCTTTCTCTAAAAAAGTCATTCCCAGCCCTTGAAAACCTGGGCCCAGCACACTCCAGCAACGCTCTCTTCTGCCCAGCCCCACCAGGATATCTGAGGCAGGGCTGGACTGCCCCAGAGGGTAGCCGGGCCTTTACCCAGTGGCCTGTAGGTTAGCCTGGCCTCCTTGGAGAGGGTTTTTTTGTGGAGGGGAGCAGGAGTGGCAGTGGGTCTGAGACCCCTGCTTTGGAGAGGTGCCCGTAGAATGGTTCCTGCCCAGTATGCCCAGCTCCTCCTGGAGTGACTAACTGGGAGGCTTTCCCAGCTCAGAGACCCCTGATGGGGGTAGCAAGGGAGCCCCACAGGAGTCTCCCCACAGCCTCCAGGATCTTTCTGGGCTCTTGTCTTTTTTGTCCCCCTTTAACAGGTGGCACCTCTGTGTGTCTGTCCTTGCCTGCGTGATTTTGGAGGTTGGTGCTTTCCTGGGAACTAAGCCTCTGGCTTTCATGCTTCCCCTCCCTGGCATCACCTCCCCTAAGGCATGGAGTTCCAAATGGGGCTTGGCCACCCCTCCCCCCACTCTAGAAGTGACTCCTCCTTCAGAGGAGACTCTGGTACATCTCCAACTGGGTCAACCCATGCTGCCCTCTTCCCTTCCCACTCGGACAGGTTCTGCTTTCATTTCTGGCTAATGAATTAGACTTTTGTGTTTTTTGAGGTTTATTAGCAGGTCTGCTCAGGAACTAGACTAACCAGTAGCTTTATATCGGGTCACCCCAGTCTATGGCTTTGGGGGCTGATAAGCAGGTATAGACCCCCTCAGATCCCAGTGGTGCACCCTGTTAGCCCCTGCAGGCTCCGCGGGGGTAACAGGAGTGATGATAAAAGTTTTCATTCTAACACTTGAGGCTTTGTGTGTTTTGTCTTTGGTCTGTGTCATAACACTGACAACATTGTCCCATGGTGTACGAACCCACTCCTGCCCCGCCCTCCAACACACATTCTCACAGACCTGCTGGCCCCACCACCAGCCCCATAGCCAGAACGCCCCAGTGATGATCCAGCAGGTGAAGACATTCTGGCTTTCATGCTTTGGGCTGGCCAGCCGGGTGTGCCTTACTTTCAAGTAAGCCTGGGCTTGGTTAAGCAGCAAGGGCCTCTCCTATGCACGGTGTGTATTCTGAAAGCAGAGGGGAAGGGACGGCTCTCTGGGAGTTAGTTCCTTGGGCCCCTGGCAGAGCTGGGCATAGGCCTTACCTCTCAGCCCCTCCTGATGAGCAGAGGAAAAAAGGGGTCACTTAGAGACTGGTGCCATAACTTGAGTGAAAAGGCCATTCAAAGCAGGGAGGCATGGAGCCTGAGGCTTAGCAGTGGCACCGAATTAAGTTTCCTTACCCGGCCCAGATGCCCCCGACACCGGGGATATGCGTTTGGTGGGCCAGGACATTTCTACCATGTTGAGTTCAGCCTGAAGCTGAGAATCTACAGCAGCTCAGGCCTCTCCCATTGCTCCCAGTGGCCCCACTTCCCAGGGCCTAGTTGGGATGGTGTGGGCTGGAGTGATAGCTCAAATGAATGGAGGTGGGAATAAGGGAGCTGATACCCCGGAGAAACGAGAAGGCAACAGGCCCATGACACTGGGCCTCTGCGTGTCCTGACTTTTCCAGGACTGTGGAAAAGACACCCCTTGAGGCTGCCAGATTTCAAAGGCCACCGAGGGTGGGGAGTACACTTGTGTCCTTGGTACCCTCTGGGTCTCATTCCTGAGCAGCTCAACCCTTGGGAAGAAAAGCTTCAGGAAGTGGGATGGGGAGAGACTGGAAGGGGAGGGAAGGAAGCATGACTGGGCCAGGGGTGGGTGCGATGACCAGAGGTGGCCAAGCGCAGGGCCAGCCGAGCTGGGGTGGCTGGGACAGGCAGGCGTCCTCACCCAAAGGGCTGTGGGCAGAGCAGCCGACCCAAGCACCAGTGATCAATCAGGCTTCTCTGCCGCTGGCCCGCTCTACCTGTCTCAGGGCCCCTCTGTCTTCTCCGTCTCCAGAACAGGAAACGCCTTTCTCCTAAGAGCCTCGGCATCGCTTCTAGGTGTCCCTTCTTTGAGATGTCTCTCCCTCAGCCACTCTTCTCTGTCCCTTCTCTCCTGGCTCATTATGGTCCATGATGTCTGAACTTCTGGCACTTGTACACTTTCACAATTCCCCCAGAAAATCTTGGGGACTCCCGCCACCGAGGATCAACTCTGGCACAGAGAAGCCAACCATCACTTCAGTGGGAAAACTTTTGTTGTGTTTGTGTTCTTCCGGGCCCCCCCCCCCAACAGATTTACATTCCTAATTATGTTTGTTCAGACTAAAGTTAGCTCTCACTCCTTAAGAGATAATCAGTGGAGGACGGTGTGGGGGAGTCAGCCTGGCCTGGAATTTTAAATTTGATCAGCTAATCCCCCAAATGGATAATCCACTTGTCGATAACTGAGGTTTGGCTGTCCGTTATCTTTAGGTAGCAAAGTATGACAGGCAATACTTTAAAGGGCAGGTCCCAAAAGAAGGTTGGCAAGAGAAACAAGGCATCTCTTTCATAGCCCTCTAGTGGCGCCCTCACCCAGGGAAAGCGGAAGACGAATCCTGAATGCGTGCTTTCAGCCCCCTTTTCCTACACCTGGCCCATGTTTGGTTCCTCTGAATTCTGAGGCATGGACCACACTGCCTTCATGGACGGAGGTGTGGTCCTCAGATTGCTGGCTGGCAAATCTGGCTCTTATCCCTGCATAAGTCGACAGGTGTTGACTCCCAAGGGTGTGGATGGCAGCCCTTGCTCTGGCTTACAGGCTGGTGGTCTAGGGGGAAGTGTCTCATGGCCCCCTGCTGGGGCCTGTGATAGGGTCATGAGGTTCCTGCCCGAGGTAGACCCCACCTATAGTCATGGAACTGAGTGCCAGTGATGCCTTCTCATCACCCAAGTGTTTGAGTTTCCCTGCACAAACCCTGTCACCTCTCCCTATTAGGAGTACTGGCTACCAAGTACATGGTGTTAAAAATATCGGCACCTTTTGCTCACCAGAAGCTACCTCTACTGAGCCTGGAGGTGGTAAGAACATAGGCTCAGGGACGGTTTCATATTCCAGCCGCCCTGTATTCTCTTTAGGCCTCCATCTGCTTAGTTGTTTTGGAAAAAATCACTTTCTAAACTTAACTTCATCTGTCAAATGAATACACTACGTCACATGATAAAGGCAGTATTTCATTAATATAAAGTGCTCTATTCAAATTAGTAATATTTACTTAAAAGTGACTGAGGACCCCAAGGCCTGCCTTGATGCACATAGACATTTGGGAACGGATAGCAACAGTGGTTCTTCCTCAGCACTCCATGCATTTGCTTTTCACGTTGACCACAAAGTCAGGAGGTGAATTTTCACCGTGGTCTTACCTGGAGATCTCAGGCTGTGCTTCTGTTAGGCAGAGGTAGCTGGAGTAGCGCTGCTCTAGCAAGGTAATGGGGCAGTGCGCGTTCAGTGGGCTGACACCCAATATGGAACATATTTAAAGATGTATGTTGCTTTCTCTGTGCAGTTCTAGAACAGCAAACACAAACACAGAGAACAAAAGTAAGCATCCCTGAAACACCACCATGGGGCCAAAATGACTTAAGAATCACCAGATTCAACTCTCCTGAGTGCTCTTCTATGACCTCCAAGGCTGGGCTGCCTATCTAAGCTCAGGCTGAGGAAGCGTGTGGGGAGAGCAGTGACCAAGACCGAGTGGAGCCTCAGGAACAGGAGACACCCAGGGACCTGGGGCTGCCTTCCGCTCCTGAGTCATCTGGCCCTGGGCCTGGCTGTGAGCTGGTGCTCACACCACTGCTTTCTATGACTGCGTTCTTGGAGGGTGATATCACAGCCTGTCTCAGGCTGTAAAGATGGATAACTTGAGGTCAGTGCCTCTGAAAGGCTAAACGTGGTGCCTGTCTGACAGAACGAGTGCTCAATTAATGCAGGGTAGTGCCGTTATCCTTGTTATTGCCAGCACTTCCCCAACTTAACCTTTCACAAATGTTGCTGAAGCCTCCGACCCGTTTTCTCTCTGGTAATTCTCAGTAGCAGAATTGACACTATCATTTTGCAGGCTGCATTTTCAGTACAAACTTGTGAGATTATGAAGAAGAATTTTTGTGCTTTGTCCTGCCTTTCCATTTTCCTGTGGCTAAGCCTAACGCCACTATATAAATTGAATTCTTTGTAGAGGGGAAACCCAGGATGGAGAACATGAAGAGTGATATGTATATATGCCAGGAACTCACCTGTAAATTCACTAATAGCTAGTGCAACTAAACTTAAACTCCCTAAACTCAATTCTTAATGTTGAAGGATGATTATTTTATAGAGGAGTTAGAATTGAGTTAGAACAGGTTTGGGGTGTGTCATGCTGATCACTTGTAACCAATGATTGCAACTCAGGTGCCCCATGAGGAGGCATCCTAGGAACTGAGAGCAGCTACTTGGCATTGTGAGGAAAAACAGGGGCCAAATTATAAAGCTCTCAAGGAAAAGTCAGCACAGGAGTCCATGTGTTCGCCATAAATGGTTTTTGCTTCACCATGTGTTTGGTGGGGAATCGGGTGTGGAATACCAGTTTCTACCTCATCCCATCCCATTTTCCTTTCTGCCCTCAGACCTGCAATGCTTCTTTTGCCACCCGAGACCGCCTGCGCTCCCACCTGGCCTGTCATGAAGACAAGGTGCCCTGCCAGGTGTGTGGGAAGTACTTGCGGGCAGCGTACATGGCAGACCATCTGAAGAAGCACAGCGAGGGGCCGAGCAACTTCTGCAGTATCTGTAACCGAGGTAATCTCCCTGCTGTTTCCTCACTTCCAGAGGATGGGCCTGAGCTTTGTGGGAGGCCTGGGGATGCCTGGCCAACCACCTCAGATGCCACTATTCACACGGCTGGCCCTTCCTTCCCACTGAACAGTAAACACCTTCATTGCCTAGCTAGCTGTTTGCTACCCCTTCCTATCTGAGTTTCTTGGGAATAGAAGTCCTTGGAATGGAAGTTTCCAGATGTTGCTCCCATGCTTGGGCCTGTAACACATACAGCTGCTGCTCACGGATTTTGTAGACATCATGGCACTATTGAGGTTGGTGAGGGAGTCATTAGGCCCCAGGAAATGGGATTAGAAGGGGTCCTTGTTGGAGAGTTTTTGCTGGCTGATTCCCTGGCATCTGGATATCAACAAGGGGTGGAAACTTTTTAGCACAAATGGTCAGAAAAGATCCCAAGCCTGGGTCAGTTGTGGCCTTGATGACAGAGGAAAGTGGAAGTTGCTGAGCAGGGCAGTGTGCGGATGGCCTGGGTCAGCTCGGGTGGCGTCTGGCTCTGTGGTCCCGGTGTTGTGTTGGATGAAGGCAGCTTGTCCCTGGGCTTCTGCCAGGGCTTGTTGGCGTTGGAAGGACTGGAGGTTTGTGTTTTGCAAGCACAGTGTCAGTGGAGGAGGCTTGTGCCGTGTATGTGCTGGAGGAGGTCTGGCAGCTGTCTGGTGGGTGTGAGGGTGCTTCTGCACAGTGCGCTTGCTTTGGCTAGGTGGGGCCGTGACTGGGGAGTCCTATCTCCTGGTCCCAATGCTTCTGGAAATTTTCTTGTGACTCAGTGGAGTAAGTACTGAACCAGAAGTCAGGGCACCTAGGGTTTAGTCACAGCCCCTCCTACTTCATACTATGTGACCTTGAGAGCTCCCTTCCCCTCTCTCTGCCACAGTTTCTTTATCTCTTAAATGGGGTTAAGACCACTCCCTTGCCCATCTCACAGGGTTGTTGTGAGGATTGTGGGAAACAAGGTGGGTGAAAGTCCTCTGAACCCCACAAGGAACTGCCCCACAAGGAGGAAGCCCCAACACTTTCCAATAGTATCAGGAAAGACGCGGATCGCCGAGGCTCTGGTCTGGACCAGGCACAACTTTCCTGCAGTGCTTGGCTGGAATCTTTGGGTGCCCGTGCTGTCTCCCTGTTCTTGAGGTCCCTGGTGGAAAGAGACTGCTGAGAATTTGAGTGTTCTTGGTGCGCTGGAACAGGGCCCTTCCTGGGACTGCATACCTGGGGTTTGCCGTGAAGGCAACTGCCGGTCGATATGGGTACCATCAGGAAACCTGCTGTGAAAATGGGAGGTGCTAGTAACAGCCGCTTCAGCTGTCTGTCCTGATTTCCAACGTGTCAGAAGAGTCCATTTCTCGCAGGAGCGTCCCTGGGTAGCGAGCACTTGGGCTGAGCATGCAGGAGGCTGTCAGACCATGGCTGACCACCTTGACTGTGGCTGTCCTGGCTCTCGGAAAAGATGGTTTCCTGTCTTGTTTCATCCTGACCTGGCTTCCTGACAGTATCCCCAAGTAACTCTGATCCTGCTGCAACATGTGTTTTGTCAAGTTTTCAAAGTTGAATTTCTCAGCCTGAGAACTGGGGTCAGAGCCCAGAGGCAGGAAGACAACAAGCATACGAGCATGGAGAAGAATCCTGACGATGAGACTCAGCCTAGCCCAGATTACAGTGAGACAAGAACTGGACAGCGGACGAGATGCAGGGCTGGGGGCCCAGCTCAGGAAGAAAGAAGAGCTGGGAGCAGCAAGAAACCGCAGGAACGTTGACCCAGTTAGAAGCCAGCTGATGTGTCGAAGCCAACAACTACTGCACATGAGGATTTGTTTTCCTGGGCTGGTAGAGAGGACTTGGGTGTGACTGCAGGGTTACATGACTGGGGTCGGGAGCCAGAGGGCAAACCAGGGCCAACCTTTCTCAGAAAAACCAAGACCAGGTCTGGATCAAGGCTGAATAAACTACTTTGGGGACCAGAGTCAGAGTGGAAGTCTCGTTCCTCCAGGAAGACGCGCACTCTGGGTCTAACCCACCCTGGGTACTCAGAAGGAGAGAAAACAATTACAGTCTTTATCAGAAGAGAAGGAGCAGGATTCTACGCCTGGACCCACTTCTTGAGCAGAAATAGGGAGAGATTCCCCATGCTCCTACCCAGCAAAAAGAGGAAGACGGTTTTTCCAGGAAGAGGATAAGGACACCAGAGACACTTGAGACATTGGAATTAAAATGCAGAGACCTCGGTGTCATCTTTTGCCCTGCCTGCCACCAAGGCTGTGAACCTCTACAAGGATTCAAGCAAAGGTTTAAGCAAAGGTGACGTATCAGCCGCAACAGCTGAGGTTGGATCAGGTCAACGTCCAAGCCTCTAAGATCCTTCAATCTGAACAGTTCTTAAGTAGTCAACCTAATTACCTACAATGACTGCTGGCTGTGAAGAATGAAAAGAGGGGAGACAGCCTGGCTGCCCTAGCCCCACAGTTGACTCAAATGCAAGTTTATGAGACAGATCGCCTAGTTTTTGTCTTAGTGACATATCAGGATGTGGGTCATACCATCTCTAGAGGAAAACACTTTTCAGCAAAGATGTATCATGGCTGGCAAAGCATGTCCTTTCTTCCTCAAGCTGAGGAAATCCATTGAATTGAACAGTGAACAGGAGAGAAGGACCTTCCTTTCTTTTCTTTTCTTTCTTTTTTTTTTTTAAAGATTTATTTATTTCTATACAAGAACTGGGGTACAAGCTAGATGTGCGGGAGGGTGAGAGGATTCACCAGAGACAGAGCGAGAAACAGAACAGGCAGACTGACTGAAACACAATGCTGAGGGGAGCAGCTTGTGAGACAGGAGAGGTCTGCCACGCCATGTGGGAATCTCACCGGCCGACCGGGACTGAACTCTTGTTGCAGAGGCTGCGGATAGCTTCATAGCGCTGCGCTCAACCGCCTGCGCCACCAGGGGAGGCCCACCTTCCTTTCTTTTTAAATTTCTGTAGCAGGGCCTTTCCTTATATGCACGAACTTACTGATACAAGGAAGAGGGAATCTGCCTGGGAATCTGCCTTTGACAGAGTCCATATTTGGACTCCAACGTCACTGCTGAAAAGGCAGAGGAAGGCTTCTCTCCAGTCAGATGTAAGTGCACATCATCGAGGCCAAGCATGGTCACAGACAGTCTGCCTGCCGCTCCCCTGGATTGAGCTGACACAAACCTGCTTAGTGCCCCCCTTCAACACAATTCAGTTGGGCATGTTTCCACCAAGGTCTGGATGGGGAGAAAGCAGTCCCTAATTCTTGCAGATGTGGAACCTATGAAAAAAGGGTTCTTCTTCTGCAGTATAACTGCAGCATGCCAGGCAAGAAAATGTGAATTTTGGTAATAAATTCATTGTCTCTGGAGTGCGAGTGAGGGTGGTTTGTAGTTGTAGTGGAATCACATGCATGCTCAGTGTCTCCATCACACCTGGATCAAGCTGCCACTTTCATTCTTGGTTAACCAGTGGTGAACAGGCAGATGAGTTTAGAATTCCAGCTAAATATGCCTGGCTTTAAAGATACGTTCTTAGAAACTCGGCTTCTGCTTTATCCCAACACTTGGCTGCCAAGTGGCTCTGTGTTTAAATTCTAGGCTTCAAGTGGCAGCTGTGGATCCACTCCTACCACACACCATGTGGTTTCGCTATAGATAGTACAGTCTGCAGCTGGGGGAAGTCGAGAGGACCCAGCCATGTGTTTCTTAGATTTTTCAGGAAAACGCAGTAAGTTATCAGTGAGCATCTGCTGTATTCCCCTGGTATAGCTCTTCCCGCCAGGAGTAAACATAACAATTCTGTCTTCTGGGCCTCCCTGGTGGCGCAGGGGTTAAAGACAGTGTTATCAAGCGATCACCAGCCACTGCAACATGAGTTCGATCCCTGGCCTGTGAGCTGACCCACGTGGCGCAGCAGACCTCTCCCATCTTGCCCACTGCTCCCCTCAGCAGTGTTTTTCAGTAGATCTGCCTGTTCTGCTCCCCACTTTGTCTCTGGTGAATCCTCTTACTCCTATACCTCTGTGCTTACACCCCAGCTCTTGTATGCATAAATAAATCTTAAAAAAAAAAAAAAAAATTCCGGGCCTCCCTGGTGGCATAGCAGGTTGAGCACAGTGCTGAGGCTGTCTGCAGCCTCTGCAGCGCGGGTTCGATTACCGGCCAGCCAGGGAGATTCCCACATGGCACGGCAGACCTCTCCTGCCTCGCCCACTGCTCCCCTCAGCAGTTCTTTCAGTCAGTCTGCCTGTTCTGCTTCCCACTCTGTCTCTAGTGAATCCTCTCACCCTCCCGTGCCTCTGGCCTGTACCCCAGCTATTGTATAAATAAAAAATAAATCTTTAGGGCCTCCCCGGTGGCGCAGCGGTTGAACGCTGGGTTGCGAAGCTGCCCGCGACCTCTGCGGCGCCGGTTCAATTCCCGGCTGCTCCCCGGCCACCGGAGGAGGGTCCCACATGGCGCGCAGACCTCTCCTGCCGCCCGCTGCTCCCCTCAGCAATGTACTTCGGTCCTTCTACCTGCTCTGCTCCCCGCTCTGGCTCTGGTGAATTCTCTCACCCTCCCGTGCTTCTGACTGTACCCAGCGCATGTATAAACCAAAAAAAAAACAAAAAACAAAAAAATAAATAAATAAATAAGACATGCCTCTAGAAAATTAAATAAATAAATAAATAAAATATTTTTTAAAAAAATTATGTCTTCCTTCCCTCCTCTTACATCATACCCTGCTCTGGTATGCCATGGAGAGTGTTTCATTACCAGCCCCACAGGGATTACAAAACAAAGAGGGAAAATTCCCTTCTAAAGTAGCTTCATATCGGGCCTCCCTGGTGGCTCAGGGGGTAAAGACGCAGCAACCTATGAAGCTGTCTGCAGCCACTGAAGCACGAGTTCGATCCCCAGCCAGCCAGGGAGCTACCCACATGGCGCAGCAGACCTCTCCTGTCTCGCCCGCTGCTCCCCTCAGCAGTGTGTTTCAGTCAGTCTGCCTGTTCTGCTCCCCACTCTGTCTCTGGTGAGTCCTCTCACCCCCACACCTCTGGCCTGTACCCCAGTTCTTATATACATAAATAAATCTTAAAAAAAAAATAAAGTAGCTTCATATTGTCAGAGAGTCCTGATACCTTCAGCTGGTTGCCAGGGGCCACGTGCCAATCCAAGAGGCAGGGCTGGGATCCTCCTTTCCATTGGCTCATCTCTTTATTCTTGACTACATCCTCCCTCTTAGGAATGTTCATAGGGGACCCTCTAAAGCCAGTCTGATGCCCAGTGATCAGGCAGATGACTCAGTTATAGTTGGGACAACTTGCTGTAGCCAGCGGGCGAGACGTCATTATTTGGTCTGGGTAGGTCTGTGGAGTAGCTGTGTTAGGAATGGAAGGAATATTTAATCCAGACCCACATTTCCCTTCCAGACACACAGATCTGCCCCCATCCACCAGTGGCTTCCAGTCAGACTCGCTAGCATGGCAGAGAGAGGCACGAGTTAAGTGGTGACAGTGGAACCAACTCCAAAAGACTGAGGGAGCTTTCTAGGGCCAGGGCCAAGCCACAGGACCAATAGTGAAGGATCAAGTTCTGGTGGCATCTGGCGCCGCGGTGGAGTTCAGGCTCTGCCATTCAGTAGCTGCGTGCGACTCTAAGTTACTCAGCCACACCAAGCCTCTGTTCTTCCTCTGTAACACGGGTGTAATAGCTGTTCCCAGCCCTAGGATGGTTGGGGAAATTATACAGAAAAATGCATGGAATGCATTGAACCCTGGCACAGCATTATCACTTGATATGGTTTCAGCAGCAATTCGAAAGGCCATGCTGACTCAGACTTCTAAATGAGTCTTTTGCAGACATTACACAGTACTTTCCAGCCTCTGACCTGCTAGTAGTGAATCCCAGGAGAATACCTGAGAATGTGTCAACCAGATCTAGAGTGGATTAAAAAGAAACCATCAAGGTCCTGGCACCCCAAGTGGGCCTTACACTAAAAAATTTTGCTTCCTACTGAAGGCACTTTTGGAATTTTGACCAAGTGGGCTTCAATGGTATAGCTTCTTCCTGTGAAACCCAAGTCAGAATCCTTAGCCTGGCCCACCTGGTTCCTCAGACTTAATGGCTGGTGTGGAAGCTGGTCTAAGATCAGCTCTTCTTAGCCCGCGATATCTCGTGGCTTAAAGTGGCCTGAGCAGCTCCAAGATGGCTGGATTGCCCCTCCCCTCAAATGAAAACAAAGAAAAGAGTATCCCTGTTTCTTCTTTAAGTGAACCTAATGGATACTCCAAAAACATCACCAGGAATCAGAGATCCTGTGTTCCTTTAACCTAACTTCCTGTTTTTGTTGTTCTTCAAAAGGCCTAAATAGTTACTAGATTCAGTTATTTTGAAGGCGAGCATGTTAGGAAAATACAATGTGTCCTGATAGAGGAAGGGGGTTCCTGAAGGCATTCCCTTGGGATTTCATCTTGCTGCCTTCTGGTATGTTGTCTAGTTTACCTTTCACAGGTGGTAAGCAGGCACTGTGCTGGCTGGAGTCCTGTGGCTGCCCTGGAGTCCCACACACTTTCTGACTATCTTTCTAGCTATGGTCCTGGCCCCTGACCCAGGACTGTGAGACATGACTCAAATACTGTTGCTAACATGCCAAGCGAGCAAGTTGGCATTTGGCCTCTGGCACAGGCAGGAGCAGGATCTTAGACCACCCCTGCAGGCACCACAGCCCTGCCGAGAGGGCTCTGTGGAGAAGCCAAAGACAGTGCCACCCTCCGGCCTGAGCCAGGGGGCTCCTGTGATTGCAGTCCTTTTTCAGCCAAGGAGGGGGCCCCTTCTAGGTGCAGCTGATCTGGGAATGCTAGCCAGAGCGGCCAGAAGCGAGGTGTGGGGGAAGCAGAGAGTGTCTTTGCTGGCTGCGGGATCTCATCTCCTTTTGTCTTGTTTAGGTTTCTCCTCTGCCTCCTACTTAAAGGTCCATGTTAAAACCCACCACGGTGTTCCCCTTCCCCAGGTCTCCAGGCACCAGGAGCCCATCCCGAATGGGGGAGCAGCGTTCCACTGCGCCAGGACCTATGGCAACAAAGGCAAGCGACCCCTTGCTCTGCACTTTGCTTCTCTGCGCAGACTGTGTTGTGGGGGCGCTAGGCCGGGCGTGGGGAGGCAAGAAGGCTGCCGGCTTGCTGGCCGCCTTGAGGAGGCGAGGAGATCTGAGTGGCAGTGGCCTCCAGGACAAATGTCACAGTGGGTATCTCACTCTAGGGTAGTGAGTGAGGCTTTAGGGCACTGCCGAGATCCAGCCCCGCCTCCTCTCCCAGCCCTCCTCCCTTGCTCCTGGCCAGCCCCCACAGTCTGGAGTCCTGCAGGGGTGTCCGGGGCCCACAGCAGGAAGAGGAGCCCTGCATGATGAGTCACTCGGGGCCTGTCCTTTGCCTGTCGCCATCTAAAGATGGTGTGGAGCTGCAGCTGAATGCTTTCTCCCACTGTGACCTTGAGGGCAGGGGGAGCCAAGGGCTGGCTTCCCCTCCATAGGGGTGATTGGTTGCTGTGAGCCTCTGGCTGCATCTGTGAGGTGCACGGTGATCAGTGAGCTAGCTGACTGCCTCTGATTGGAGTTGGTTTGCACAGCGCTCCCTAGGTCCCACTTCACTTGTTGATTCAGGTTGTTCTGTGGTATTTCAAGTTGTTGTTGTCTTGGGGATGGCTCCAGGGGCTTGGCAGATGGCAGAGATGGCATGCTCCACGCTCCCATCACAGATCTCCCTTTCCCGGCATGGCTCTCTGAACCTGGGCAGGAAGCTGCCTCTCTGGTGGAGGACTCCAGTGTGGACCAGGCAAGGTAGAGTGGTGGGGTTGTCCTGAGGCCCAGCTTGCCCTGGGCCCTGCAGGGACAGCCAGCTGACTGAGTTCTTCAGAGTTGCTTTAATCTCTGTGCTTTGGCTGCTCGGCCCTGGAAAAGTTTTGGCAGAGAGAAGGTGGTAAGGTTTGTAGTGTCAGGAAAAGGATTGGCTTCTGTGTCTCAGCCATGGATGGGGTGTGCCCAAGGTGAAGACGTCAGGGCTACGGTTCTGCCTTGCTAGGGTGCAGCTAGTCGGTGCAGGGGTGACATACCTGCTTGGTGTCATCAGAATGGCCATTTTACCCCCACGGGCAGCCAAGAGAGCCAAGGAGTTGGGAGTCTGAGTTGTTCTGGGCAGAAGCAGTGGAGTTTCCCTCTCCTTGATGCAGGCTGAGATGGTGGTGAGCAAAACACGTGCACCTGCATGAAGCGCCGTGGCGAGGTAGGCCGGCAGTCCCAGGGCCCTACTGTCTCACCCCCATAGGCACTCCAGGCTCCCAGACTGACCAGCTGAATCTCCGTGGGCAGTGGCGGCCATCAGCTGCCCTCCACCGGCCTGTGAGCTGGCCCCTCCCCACCCCTCCAGGAGGGGCATCTTCCAGAGCCTGGCCTCATCCCTCCTCTGTGTTTTATTTTCTCCTAGAAGGCCAGAAATGCTCACATCAGGATCCGATTGAGAGCTCCGACTCCTATGGTGACCTTTCGGACGCTAGCGACCTGAAGACGCCGGAGAAGCAGAGCACCAATGGCTCCTTCTCCTGTGACATGGCAGTCCCCAAAAACAAAATGGAGTCTGACGGGGAAAAGAAGTACCCCTGCCCTGAATGTGGGAGCTTCTTCCGCTCTAAGTCCTACTTGAACAAACACATCCAGAAGGTGCATGTCCGGGCCCTTGGGGGCCCCCTGGGGGACCTGGGTCCTGCCCTCGGCTCACCTTTCTCTCCCCAGCAGAACATGTCTCTCCTCGAGTCCTTTGGGTTTCAGATTGTTCAGTCGGCGTTTGCATCGTCTTTAGTAGATCCTGAGGTTGACCAGCAGCCCATGGGGCCTGAGGGGAAGTGAGGCAAATGCTGTGTCCCCACGGAAATGACCATCGGGGATTGCTGAGAAATGCTGTGAATGCGGAGGGAAGTAATGTCTTTGGGTTCTGTAGCTGAGAGATTTTTATTCGTTTTTAACTCCCCCCCCCAACGTTATCACCCCACTCCCTCTCCACCACCCATTCTGCACCCCTCCACCCCCAGTGGTCTTTAGAAATAGATTCTCATCTGATATTCTGCAGAAATATCTCCAAGACCTGGTATGGGACAAGGGCAGAAAACACTACATAGGCCTACGAGGCAACACCAGTCTGGTTTTTCTAAAGGGCGGAAGCTGGAATTCCTGGTGCTCAATTCTTAGTGACCCGAATCCCAAACCAGTGCCTGATGGCATCCTGGGGCCTCAGTGACTTTGGTCCCCTCCACTTCCCTACTTCCTTGTTTCCCCCTTCTCATAGCCCTCATAAGAAACCAGAATAGGGTTTCTACCCACTTACACAATGCTGATGCCCAACTGTTGTTAAGGAAGCTGGAAGCCTACAGCATCCACGGACCATGGGTGAGTGTCCTCTGAGAGCCACCTGAGTTTGACCCTTGACCTAGAGGGCCCCAGACCTTCCTGAGCCCTGCCTGAAGACTAGCATTTTGCTATAAGGCAAACTCAGCTACAGAGGACACCCCCACCTCAGATTCCAGTTCTTATGTGATTTTAACCATTCAACTTGCTGTTGGGTTTTAATTCTCTAATTATTATTATTATTGTTATTATTTTTTAGGACCAGTTGTAGTGAATTGCTACTGAAAGCTATCCCAGGTGATACAGAGCTCTTTGTAAACCGCAGTCACACATTAGGGTTAGTATTAAACTTTGTTTAGATGTACCATAATTAACTTGGCTAGTTGATTGTTTGAAGTCTATGGAAGAAATAGTTTTATGCAGAATTTTAAAAATGCCAGTCTGATCAGGGAGGTAGGGGGCTTCAATGCTGTTGGGAGCCAGGAAGGTGTAGGGGAGCAGGAGGTGGAGACATTGTGTGCCTCAGTTGTGTCACCTGGGAGCAAGCCCAGGCTGACCTCATGATGTGAATTGATCTGATCAGACTGTATTAAAAATGTTAGTACCTTACTCTACCTGCTCCCCTGAGTCCAGTTTTTTAGCTGTGGGGGGTCTTTGGGACCTAGAGAATGGGCAGTCTATGCCGCTGCAGCCTGGGTGGCAGTGGGAACCCAGCAGACCCTCCTTTCTCTTCACTGCACCAGTTCCACTGGGATCGATGGGAATCTTCCCACAGAGGACTCAGCTGCTTGCATTCACCCATTCATCACAAATACTCATTCCTAGTCTTCACTGCTTTATGCCAGGCCTGGCCTCAGACCCTGGGGACATGGTAGTAAACAGGACATCGTTGTGGAGGGAGACAGTAAACAAGTAAGCAGATTTAACTGATCTCAGGTATCAAGAAGTCCAAGGAGGAAAGCCGGGCAGTGATGGCAAAAGAGTAGTTAAGGTGGCCCAGGACCCTGTGAGGCAGCAGTTAGGGCTCTGGGAGATAAGGCCTGGAGTTTTAGAGTGTTCAAGGGGCCTGACGTAGCAACTAGCTAGGACCTAAGATGGCACATGGCCAACGAGAAAATCCTCACAGTAAGGGGCTTTTTTTTTTTTTAAGTTTTATTATTTATTTATGCATACAAGAACTAGGGTACAGGCCAGAGGTGTGGGGGGTGAGGGGTGAGAGGATCCACCAGAGACAGAGTGGGGAGCAGAACAGGCAGAATGACTGAAATACACTGCTGAGGGGAGCAGCGGGCCAGACAGGAGAGGTCTGCTGTACTATGTGGGTCACCTCCCTGGCCAGGGATTGGACTCGTGCTGCAGTGGCTGCGGATAGCTTCACATTGCTGCGACTTAACCCCTTGTGTCACCAGGGAGGCCCCAAGGAGTTCTTAAAAGCTCAGCAACTTGAATCTCCCTAACCTTACCAACAGGGGTGAGTAAAAGGCTGTTGCCCCCAAGGGGTGAGAGTATGAAGAGGAGGAATAAAAATAAAGCAAACAAAAGGGAAGAAGCGAACGCAATGGCGAACTATTGGGAGCCAGAACTGTTGCAAGAGGGCAGGGAGAATTACAGCACCCAGGCATCTTGAGAAACCTCAGGGAAGAGGGAAACCCTAAACTAATACAAACAACATTTAAGCTCCAAGCAAGTACAAAGAAAAAAATGATAATAGAAAAATAAACATAGACCGGGAGGAACAAAGAACGCAAAATGATTGAGATTCACATTAATAGCAGTAATTACACTGCATTCTGGTTTAAAAGGAAAGACTCTGAGCTGGATTAAAAAAAAAAAAATCCTCTAAGCCGTTTATAGGAAATCTTAGGTAAATTGCTGGGCTCTGTGGATTGTGTGAGGTGGAGACTTGAGCTGTGTGGTGTAATAGCAGAGGAAATGGTGACCTTACAATGCTGAGGCCCTTGGACGTGTGGCCTTGTGACCACCATAGAATTTGCCAGCAGAGTATTAAAGCAGAGACCCTGGCCTAGAACCAAGTACTTGAGACATTCTTATTCCTCCCTCCCCTGCTCCCTTACTAAAAACCTTGGCTATCTCCATTGACAGGGGCCACTCAGGAAGCAATGACTGTCACATGGAAGGGACAGTGGGGGACAACAAAGCCAGTAGGCTGCCGCTTCTTCCTATGTGCTCTCACCTACAGGCCTGAGCAGAAGTGGAGGTGCCCCTGCCTGCCCCTCAACCTCCACAGTTTTTCCATACACCACACCCTTCAGGCCACAGGGAGAAGAGCTATGCAGAACATGGGTGCATAAAGTCAGAATGCCTTCTCTTACATGGTCAAGAAGGAAAATCCTGAACCTTAGCTGCCTAGCTCCACCATCCGTTCTTTGCCAGCTCCGAGCCTTAGGTTCCTTGTCAGAAAAATGGGAGCTAACATTTCATGAGCTGTCATTTTCTTTTTTTTTTTTTAAGATTTATTTATTTATACAAGCACTGGGTACAGGCAGAAGCGTGGGAGGGTGAGAGAAGAGCGGGGAACAGAACAGGCAGACTGATGAAATACACTACTGAGGGGAGCAGAGGGCACGGCAGGAGGGGTCTGTCGTGCCATGTGGGACCCTCGCCTGGTGGCCAGGGATCAAACTGGTGCTCCAGAGGCTGCAGGCAGTTTCGCAGCCCAGCGCTCAACCGCTGTGCCACCAGTGGAGGCCTGAGCTGTCATTTTCTACGCCTAATCCTCAGCACAACCTTTGATCCTGGTTCCATTACTACCCCTTCCTACAAATGAATAAATACGCTCAGAAAAGAGGTGGAGGCACCATCCCCCAAACCCCCTAGATCACAGGTATAAAGGAAAGGCAGGACTCACACTCAGGTTTGTCCTCTGACTCTAGAACCTTCATTCCCAAGCTCCAGTGACAGTGCCTTTGCACATATGTAAATGTCCAATATCATGCTTTGCCCAAAGGCCCCAGGAAGAGGGCCAGGACAAAGCAGCAGCAAAGAGCCACAGAGGAAGTCAGGGTCAGAGCCAGAGGGATGCCCAGGGGCCCTATGTGAGAATGCTTATCACATAGCACACACAGCTTATCACATAGCTTAGCACCCCTTAGGGTGATTTGTGCCTTGGCCCCCAAAATGAAGGAGTCCCAGCATCAGGAACACCCTGGTGGACTTGCTCCAGCCAGGGCCATCACACCAGGGAGCCAGATCAGTAACTGCCAGAGGACCAGCCTGGCCACGATTGGTACTGTGCTCACCTCCCCATGGCAATGACCTCCCATGATTGCCCCTGGCAGAGGTAAGGGAGGCCTTGGGGCGCCAAGTGATCCCAGTTCATGTGGCTACAGGGTAATGTGCCTACTGAAAGCCAACAGTGGGCTGGAGCTGGGAGACTGGCAGGTCTCAAGATAAACTTTCTATAATTTTGGCAAATCTCCAAGCCTCAGCTTCCTTACATGTAAAGGGGAGATGAAAGGACTGACAGGGGATGTTGTATGTCAGGTGTCTGGGCCCATGGGTGGGACTGAACTTCAGGCCCTTCTATGGTCTGTTCTGTTCCTACACTCTTCTTTTTCCCTTGGTGACTTGGGGGACCCCCAAAACTGTCCACAGCAGTTTGCCTCCTGGATTTCCCTACCTCCAGCCTCACATTTTCCACTTGATACACCTCAAGCATAAGTCCCTACTTGTACTTTTATTTTTCATGTATCAGGCCTTTGTTTATGCCCATCCTGTTTAACCACAAAAGTCCTAACAATGACACACGTGTACCAAGTCCCAGGGACCCTTTTCAACACTGTACATTTTAATTGCTTGCCTTCAAATCACCCAAAGAGGTAGGCACTAGTTTTACAATTAAGCAACTTGCTCCAAACACACATCTGTAAGCAGAGCGAAGAGGATCTAAGTGCAGCAGTCCAGGCCCACAGTCTGTTTCTTCACCGCCACTTTGCCCGGGGGTGTGCCATGGCTCGATCCCAACTGCCCCATCCAACCGCAGCTGCCATCTTAGCGCTTCACAGTCTCAGTCTTTACCATGGATTCCCAGCCCCTGCCTTTACCCAGGACACCCTCCACCCGGAAGGCTCTCCCCAGCTATGTGCGTCTGAATCCAACCCTTTTCTCAGCCTCCTCAGCTGCAGAGGAGCTGGTGATTTCTTGGCCTGCCAATCAAGTCCTCATTCCACACAGAGTGCCACGCCAGGTACCCCAAACAAGGTCATTCTAAGGAAATCCATAGTCCACACAGAGATGGGCCTACTGTGTGCAGAACAAGAATGGCTCACGCAGTTAACCAATCCTGTCTCCTGGTCATTTTGTTTTCCTTCATAGATCCTTTTGGGGCAGGGGCAGAGGAGGAAGGACAGAGGGACAAGGTAGGCAGGTTGCTGGTTTAGAAGGTGGAGTGGAGGAAGCAGTGAATGAGGCCAGTGAATCCTGTCTGCTCAGGTTATTTCTGGCTACCTACCTACCTCTGCTTTCTGGCTTTCCTGGAAAGCCTGTACTAAGAGGTACCAGGGATGAAATGAGGGCTGCCAATTTTGGCTATGAGTTCAGAATTTCACAATTCTCGAGTGCCCCTCATAGAGGAAATTCCACAGTCACGCCCTCTCAAGTTGAGTGACAGTGGTCAGCACTTACCTTAAAGTTATCATTAGAGTCTTATAAATCCCTCCTGGTCCTTACAGGAAGCAGGCTGGTGAGATTCCCTCCAGTTTACATAATCATACCTGGCCACCAGCACCTGGCAGCAGGACCGCCAGAATTCTAGTCCTTACACACCTCTCCTCTCCCTCTTCTCTCCATGGTCCTGGGCCTAACCCTCCTCTGGACCTTTCCAAGGATGGAGGGTACCTGTAGGCCCTGTGGACCCTCACAGGGCAGAGGGAGAAGGGCAGAATGATTAACATCTACATCTGCATCTTTTGCTAAACTGCCCTGAAAGGAAATGCCAAATATTTATCCAGGAGATTAATATGTCTAACAAGACAAATTTCCTTTGCAGACAAGGCAGCTTGGAGTGCCTCTGAATACAGCCTCTTTGTATTGCTGTAGGTAGGAACAACAGAAAAATAACTTACTTTTACTTTGAGGAAAGTCTACTGCCCTCCCTAAATCTGGTGCAGGACGCTGTGGGCAGGCCATGCCAAGCAGAGGTCAAAGCCTGGGGCAGCAATGAAGAAGTAACTGGAGCCTCCCCGGTAGCGCAGCGGTTGAGCGCTGGGTTGCGGGGTTGCCCGCGGCCTCTGTAGCGCCGGTTCGATCCCTGGCTGCTCCCGGCCACCGGAGGAGGGTCCCACATGGCGCACAGACCTCTCCTGCCGCCCGCTGCTCCCCTCAGCAGTGTCCTTCGGTCCTTCTGCCTGCTCTGCTCCCCGCTCTGGCTCTGGTGAATTCTCTCACCATCCCACTTCTGACTGTACCCAGTGCTTGTATGAATAATAAATAAATAAATCTTTAAAAAAAAAAAAAAAAGAAGTAACTGCATGATTATTGACACCTCCTTTCCTCTTTCTAGGGCGTTCTCTTCTGATTTTCTTCTTCTTCTTTTTTTTTTTTTTTTTTTAAATTTGGCTTTTTTTTTTAGATTTATTTATTTTATTTATTTATACAAGCACTGGGTACAGTCAGAAGCGCGGGAGGGTGAGAGAATTCACCGAGCCAGAGCAGGGAGCAGAGCAGGCAGAAGGACCGAAGTACACTGCTGAGGGGAGCAGCGGGCGGCAGGAGAGGTCTGCGCACCATGTGGGACCCTCCTCCGGTGGCGGGGGAGCAGCCGGGGATCGAACCAGAGCTGCAGAGGCTGCGGGCATTCGCAACCCAGCGCTCAACTGCTGCGCCACTGGGGAGGCCCTGATTTTCTTCTCTTGAGTCAAAATCTGTGCCCTGAGTCTGCTGAATGTTTTGTTGCCCATGCTAAGGAACACAAACTCCCTGAATAGCTGGGCCTGCATTTAATCTTTTAAAAGCTTTTCTTTGAATGATGATAAACTGCTTGCTTATTGATGTAGTTTCCTGTTACAAAGTCCTTATCTCTTGTCTACCTGAGGAACTCTTATTCAATAGCTCAGCTCAGAGGGCCCCTCATCTGAAAAGCTTTCCCTGCTCCCTCTAGAGGGGAAACAGCTTTCACTAATTACACCTGCCAAGCACTGTGCCAGAGGCTGTATGGACATCAACAACCCTAAGAGGTAAGTAAAATAACTGGCAATGTCACATAGCTGAGACTTGGCAGAGCCAAGGCTCCAATCCTGAACTATCTGAACAGGGAGCCCGCGACTCCATCACTGTGTCTTCTGGTGCCGAGTCCCTGTTCTACACGTATTTCTACTTTTGCATTATCTTCTCATGGATCTATCGCCTCAGGAGACAGATTTCTTTGAAAATGGGGTTCTTATTCACACAAAGATAATTCTTAGTATGCTTGGCACTTGGCAGTCACTGAATTATTCACTAGGTATTATGAGTGGCCACTGTTTTCTCAGAAAGACTTAATTTCTTCTCTCAAGGAGAGTAGTACAGGACATGGGAGATACAAATAAATAGATACTTGTACCACAAGAGAAATGAGGAGAAATAAATGTTCTGATGATCTGGCGTAGGATGAGATACTGGCAGGTCTGACAAGGTGGAATCAGAGCACGACTCTGACTCCTGTAGAGACAGGTCTGGGGGGATGGGGAGCCCAGGGAAGGGAGAATGTGGCCAAGCCTACCCTTGATGTACAAATATCAGCTAATGATCAAAATAACAAATCTCTTCATTTCCATGAGGGATAAATCTCTTCAAGTCACAGAGTGGATAGAAGCTGCTGGCAAAAGTCAGCTGGCCTTCAGATTGTGAAGGAGACCTGGGCAGGGCAGGGCTGACCACACTCTAATGGAGGGAGGGGTAGAGTCTGGGTAACTGAAGAAAACAAAGACAATTTTCTTTTCTTTTTTTTAAGATTGATTTCTTTATGCATACAAGAGCTGGGGTACAGGCCAGAGATGCGGGGGTTTGTGTCTGAGAGGATTCACCAGAGACAGAGCGGGGAACAGAACAGGCAGATTGACTGAAGTACACTGCTGAGGGGAGCAGCAGGTAAGACAGGAGAGGTCTGCTGCGCCATGTGGGCTGCTCCCTGGCCAGCCGGGGATCAAACTCCATCTGCAGAGGCTGCAGATTGCCTCATAGTGCAGTGCTTAACCCCTTGCACCACCAAGGAGGCCCAACAAAGACAATTTTCTAAGAGGAATTCTACAGCAAGCTTTTTTCTTCTTTAATACATATATTATCTGTGTTGCAGAATGTCTCTGATTTATAGTTTCCTGCTAGTTTTGTTGTTTTTCTTTTTTATTTATTATTGTTACTTTCCCCTGATCCCTTCTTTGGTTCCCCTATATTCCTCCTATAAGTGAAACCATCTGATATGTTTCTTTTTCCTTCTGGCTTATTTCACTGAGCATAATCCCTTCTAGCTCCATTAACGTTGCTGCAAATGGCATGAGCTTATCCTTTTTGATTGCCAAGTAGTATTCCATTGCGTATATATAGCATATCTTCTTGATCCAGTCATCTATTTTTGGGCATCTGGGTTGTTTCCATTTATACCTACTGTAAATAGTGCTGCAATAAGAATAGGGGTCTGCAGCCAACTTTTAAGTAACAAATCTTCTCATTAAAATAGTAACTCGGGCCTCCCTGCTGGTGCAAGGGGGTAAGCACAGCACTGTGAAGCTATCCCCAGCCTCTGCAGCACAAGTTTGATCCCCAGCCAGGGAGCTACCCACATGGCACAGCAGACCTCTCCTGTCTCACCTGCTGATCCTCTCAGCAATATATTTCAATGAGTCTGCCCGTTCTGTTCCCCACTCTGTTTCTGGTGAATCCTCTCACCCCCTGTACCTCCGGCCTGTACTCCAGTTCTTGTATGCCTAAATAAATAAATCTTAAAAAAAATAGTAACTCCCTGGCTCTCCCTGGTGGTGCAAGGGGTTAAGCACCACACTATGAAGCAATCCACAGCCTCTGCAGCACGAGTTCAATCCCCAGCCAGCCAGGGAACAACCTACAACGCGCCGCAGACCTCTCCTGTCTCACCCGCTGCTCCCCTCAACAGTGTATTTCAGTCAATCTGCCTGTTCTGTCCTCCACTCTGTCTTTGGTGAATCCTCTCACCCCCTGTATCCCAGCTCTTGTATGCATAAATAAATAAATCTTTAAAAAAAAATAGTAACTCCCATTTACTCAGCATACAGTTCTGGTTCTCATCATCAGAACAGGTGTAATTGCCTTCATTTCATAGATAAGAAAATGGAGACTCAAAAAATCTAGCACAGAACAAAAAGCTGAGACTTAGAGTCAGGCTTTTTGGGAAAATATTTGTTAGTATTTATTAAGAGTCTAATAATGCTCATATCCTTTAAACCAATAGTATGACTTAAGGGAGCTATCTAACAAAGTAACCCTACAAAGTCTAACATGTAGAAAGATGTATGCATAATGTATAAGCCACCTAACTGGCAAACAAACAAACAAACAAACAAAAAACCCAAAAAACTAATACCATGGGGGAAGTGTTTATATAAAAGTGGTTATGAGAAGAAAAATCACCTAAGTGGTAGGTTAAGACCAATGTTAAAAAGAAGCATGGATAAAGGCCTGGAAGGAACTGTGATTGCAACTGGTTTATTTGATTTCTCATCCTGTATAAACATAAAGCCTTTCAATCTTTGTCAACAGCTGCCCTCAGTGGAACTATGTGAGCCGTCTTTCCCACTGGGTAGCTTAATGATGGATGCCATAGGCCCTCAGCTACTTTCAGGAATTAGATTAAATATCTCCCAGTATTTAAAATTCATTTAAAATGTTTACACAAATAAAAACATTCATTTTAAAACGTCCATCTCAAGCTCCCCTTCAAATGTGCTTGTGCCCCTTCCCACAGCTGCTGGGTCTAGCTAAGGACTGGGTGGTTTGACTGTAAGGTGGAGGAACATGGTCTGTCCTCCACCACTTCCCCTCCCATTTCTCTCTACGAGAGGGCTGGGGACTGGACAGGTCTTCCTACCTGCTTGCCTCGGGACGCAGCGGTCTCTCTGCTGGTCGGCTTCTGCTCTGCTATTGTCTTCTGCAGTGAGCATCCCCCAAACTGGCTCTCCTATACAGAGACTTTCTGAATTTTAGCTTCCTTCTCTGTAAAATGGACCAAAAACCAATTATCTGATGAGAATTACGTGAAAACAGAGTAAGATAATGTATGTGGGAACTGGCTGTAAAGCACTATGTAAATATTATTATCCCTTGGAGGAGCCCATTATTTCAAGTGTTATGTTATTGGGAGTGGACTTGGAGATTAAACAGATATTCCACTTAGTAGGTAGAAACAGAGCTAGAATTTCCCTTAGACCTACTCTTTTTCTGATCTTTCCCATCTCAGGGAAGGACAACTCCACTTTCCCAGTGACACAAGCCAAGGCTTTGGGGGCAGCCTTGACTCTCTCCTCCGCTCACATTCAACATTCAATCCATCAGATGACCCTGTTGCCTATACCTTTAAAAAAAAAAAAAAAGATTTATTTATTGGGCCTCACCTGGAGGCGCAGGCGGTTGAACTCGGCGCTATGAAGCAGTCCACAGCCTCTGCAGCGTCGATTTGATCCCTGCTGGCTGGCAAGAATCCCACATGTCATGGCAGACCTCTCCTGTCTCGCCCGCTGCTCCCCTCAGCAGTGTATTTCGTCAGTCTGCCTGTTCTGTTCCCTGCTCTGTCTCTGGTGAATCCTTTTACCCTCCCGTGGATCTGGCCTACACCCCGGTTCTTGTATAAATAAATAAATAAATCTTAAAAAAATTATTTATTTATGCATATAAGAGCTAGGGTGCAGGCCACAGATGTGGGGGGTGGGTAAGAGGATTCACCAGAGACAGAATGGGGAGCAGAACAGGCAGATGAAATACACTGCTGAGGGGAGCAGTGGGTGAGACAGGAGAGGTCTGCTGCACCATGTGGGTCATTTTGCTGGCCAGGGATCAAACTCATGCTGCAGTGGCTGCAGACAGCTTCATAGTGTTGTGTCTTAACACCTTGTGCCACAAGGGAGGCCCCTACTTTTTTTTAAGATTTAATTTATGCATACAAGAGCTGGGGTAAAGGCCAGAGGTGTGGGGGGTGGTTAAAGGATTCACTGGAGACAGAGTGGGGAACAGAACAGGCAGACTGACTGAAGTACACTGCTGAGGGGAGCAGCGGGCAAGTCAGGAGAGGTATGCTGTGCCATGTGGGTAGCTCCCTGACTGGCTATGGATTGAACTCATACTGCAGAGGCTGCAAATAGCTTCATAGGTTGCGTCTTAACCCCTTGTGCCACCAGGGAGGCCCTGCCTAGATTTTATTTTTTAAGATTTATTTATTATTTATTTATACAAGCACTGGGTACAGTCAGAAGTGCGGGAGGGTAAGAGAATTTACCAGAGCCAGAGCGGAGAGCAGAACAGGCAGAGTGACGAAGTACACTGCTGAAGGGAGCAGTGGGCGGCAGGAGAGGTCTGTGCACCATGTGGGACCCTCGCCTAGTGGCCGGGGATTGAACCAGCTTTGCAGAGGCTGCGGGCAGCTTCGCAACCCAGCACTTAATCGCTGCACCACCAGGGAGGCCACCTGCCTAGGCTTTTAAACACATCTGTAAGTCAATCACTCTTCCAACTTCCACTCTTCCACTAATAACCAAACCACCTCTGCCCAGCAATCACCTCCAATTGGCTCCTGTCTTCACCTCATCTCACTGCAATCAATATCCGCAATGCAGAATGTCTTTTCAAATGGAAGCTGATTCACAGTACTTTTTAAAAAAAGATTTATGTATTTATGCATACAAGAACTGGGTACATGCCAAAGGTGCAGGGGGTGAGAGGATTCACCAAAGACAGAGCGGGGAGCAGAACAGGCGGACTCACTGAAATACACTGCTGAGTGGAGCAGTGGGCGAGACAGAAGAAGTCTGCCATGCCATGTTGGTTAGCTCCCTGGCTGGGGATCAAAGTTGTGCTGCAGTGGCTGCCGATTGCTTCATAGTGCTGAGACAACCCCTTGCGCCACCAGGGAGGCTCCTGATTCATAGCTCTTTGACTCTACACTTACAAATGCTCTCTATCTCACTGAAAATGAAATCCAAGGCAGATATGACCCGGCCTCTTGCTCCCTCTCTGACCTTGCACCTACCACCCTCTCCCTTACTTGCCCAGCTCTGAACACATTGGTCTTCTCACAGTTCTTCTAACAAGCCAAGCATACTTCTACCTCAGGGACTTTGCTTGCTAATCCTTTTGCATGGGATACTCTTTCTCCCGTCACAGGATTTGTCCTCTCACTTCAGCACAGCTGTTTTCCTGGATCATTGAATTTAAAAACAACATGCTGATGAAAAATGATGTAAGAATTATATAAAATAAAATATTAAAATAAATAAATAAATAAAAACAACATGCTTTCTGCCCTGTCCCTTTTCTTGCTTTTCCTTTCCTCTTGGAACTTCGCATCCCTGACATGTATTTACTGCCTTCCCCCATTACAATGCAGGACTTTGCTCACTGCTTTATCCCCAGCACCCAGCTTGAAAATTAATTCCTTTCAAATGACTATGTATAACGATTTCAGTTATTCCTGACTAAGTCCAGTGGCAATTTTCACGCCTGGGAGCTTTCTGGATTGGTTTCCCTTCCTTGTGTGTTGGGAAAAGTCACATGCTTACCTCTGTGTTCTAAAGGGTACAAAAGCCTATTATCCATGTTCAACGTTAAGTGTAATTACCCTGGCACTATGGGTTTGAAGAGAAGGCAAGTACCTACCCTTAGTGTCTACCCATCTTTAACTCTCTTCCTGATGCCTGCAGCTGCCTGGAATCTGGGGAGATTCATTCTTCCACAGTCTACTTTCTTTTTTTTTCTTTTTTTTTAAAGATTTATTTTATACAAGAATTGGGGTACAGGCCAGATATGCAGGGGGGTGAGAGGATTCACCAGAGACAGAGCGGGAACAGAACAGTAGACGGACCGAAGTACACTGCTGAGGGGAGCAGCGGGCAAGACAGGAGAGGTCTGTCCCGCCATGTGGGTTTCTCCCTGGCTGGCCTGGAATCGAACTCATGCTGAAGTGGCTGCGGATTGCTTCATAGGTTGCGTCTTAAACCCTGCGCCACCAGGGAGGCCCCCACAGTCTACTTTCTGTGAAGTGATATTGTGGAGAAGAAAAATGCATGTGAAAAAATAAAATTATGACTTAGAAGGTGGCTGTTGTGGGGAACTTAATTGTATTTACATAGGATGGAGAATGGAGACCCTGGCAAAATATCCACTCAAAGTTCTGCAGAGTTGTTACTGGTCTTGAGAGTTGGGAATTGGGGTTATATACCCAGCATAGATCATAAACTCTGGGAATACTCCCATCTATATCATAAACTCTGGGGATACTCATCATCCCTTGCCTCAATTTCACAGAACCCCAAATAAAATTCTCTAGCCTCTTTGCCTGCATGGTGACTATGTCTGATCCATGCAGCTCTGTCTTAAGGAGAGAAAAAGCCCATCTCTATTCTCAACATAGGGTCTGACCCCCACAGAATACCTAGCTCACTTGTGGGCCCTGGTGGTCATGATATGCATGGTCTTCCAGTGCTATGGGCTCCAACCTTGCCCAAGTGGCTTTTGCTGGCAGTGGGCTACCTTCCCTGCTCCATACACAGAAGGCTACACTTCCCAGAACTGTTCTCAACAAATTGTTCCCTTCTTTCTCAGACCTGTCTGGACTGGCTAGGGGACTGCACCATGATGTTGTATTTTCCCTTGGCAGAACTTGGATCTGGCTCCAATCCACGCCCTCCAAAGGCATCAGTATGTAACTACCAAGAGGTACCAGCAGGGGGAGCCAAGAAAATTCAGATTCTTCAGAAGGCAAAGGGTCAAGGATAAAAGCTATTTTTCTGAAGGGCTGAGGCAATTTTCTCCTCATTTAAGATACACAGAGCCAAGTGCCCTGTTAAAACTGTTGTTTGTGAAGTTCAGGTGAGTGGAAAGTGAAGGTGAGTGGAAAGCCAAAGGGGATTCATCTATTCCGTCATCAACTGTTTATTAAGCCAGGCTAGCCACTGCCTATAGAGTAGTTCAGAAGACAGTTAAAGTCCTTGACCTCATACACTTGAGTTTATGAACTGGGAGAACTAATAAGTGGAGGTCTAGGCACTTGGATCAAATGAAGATATGTAAATCAAAATAGAGTGTGAGGTCAGAAAATTCCTATGATTTTACCATTAAAAAAAAAAAATACACACACACATACACACACACACACAACCACATTACTCCCAGAGAAAGAATGCTAGCTTCAATAAAACTGCTAAAAGCAATCTAAATGAAAGTGTACAAAGTGTACATCACATTTCTGAGGGAAATAGCATCGAGAATAAGTAGAAACTGAAAACTTGATCGATATGCTGATTTTGCTTCAAAGCAGTCTCCTGCGGAGAGGGAGTGAGCAGGTACAGAGATGAAACAGGACTGGCCATATGCTGATGATTGCACAGCTGGGTGGCAGGTACCTGGTAATTCATCGCACAGTTATCTCAAATTCTACATGTTTGAAAATTCCTATGGGAAAAGTTTATACATATCAATAACTTGGTCAATGGACACTGTAGTTAAGTTTCACAGAAGATAGTCTATTTGTTTTTTTTTTTTAAGATTTATTTATTTATACATGAACTGGGGTACAGCCGGAGGTGCAGGAGGGTGAGAAAATTCACTAGAGACAGAGCAGGGACCAGAACAGGCAGACGACTGAAAACACTGCTGAGGGGAGCAGCGGGCAAGACGGGAACGGTCTGCTGCGCCGCGTGGGGATCTCCCTGGCTGGCTGGGAATTGAACACGCACTGTAGATGCTGCAGACAGCTTCAGAGTGCTGCGTTCAACCCGCTGCGCCACTGGGGAGGCCCAGTATCCTATTTGTTAAGGGAGAAAACTGTGCAACCAAAATTCCTACAAGCATTCCGAACACACTTAAATAACTGACATTTTCTCTATTGTTCCCTTCTTTCACAGATATGCTGCCAGAGCCTATGATCTTGATCATTTAAAGATTAGTACAATGTATGCAAATTATTTCACAGGGGCTTCTTACCTGTGTTATTCACAGGGGTAGAGAAGAAAACGTTCAAAACGTCCCTTGGGGCAAAAAATGAGATGTATAGTCTATCTTTTGTTGTCTAATAGGGAAGGAGTATTTGGTAATGATCATAAGGGAATCAAAGAGCATAAAGGATGAATTCTGTTCTGAGTAGCAGCACTAGTGGACAATCTTGAACAAGTTCCATAATCTCTGGTGGCTCCTCCCTTCAAAATTCAGAAATCTATTATATTTGGAAACAGCACTTGTAAATTCTACTTTTAGTAGCATGAGAGAAGCTCAAAGGACAGGTTCTTTCCCATATGTTTCCTCATTGGTAGAATGCCTTATAATTAAAACAAACAAAAACCTAACAGATTGTAAAGCTGAATTCTGGAGAACTCTGGTTTAAGAAAGTTGTCTTAGCAGGGGTCTCCCTGGTGGCACAGGGGTTAAGTGCTATCACCACTGCGACGGCAGCCTGAGTTTCTTTAGCCTGAGTTCCATCCCAGGCCAGGGAGCTACCCACATGGCACAACAGACCTCTCCTGTCTCTCCTACTGCTCCCCTCAGCAATGTATTCCAGTCCTTCTGCCTGTTCTGCTCCCTGCTCTGTCTCTGGTGGGTCCTCTCACCCCCTCCCTCCCATATCTGGCCTATACCCCACAAATCAATCAATCTTTTTTTTTTTTTTTAAAGAAAAGAAAGTTTTCTTAGCAGCCTTCTATCATAGAAATTCAATCCACAACTGGCAGGAAGTATTGGGCGCAAGCTAAGGCAGATGCGCTAGCCTAGGTTTCTCTGAGGATGAACTGAAAAATGAAATAGAAGCCAATATTCCCTGACACCCAGTTAAAGAGTCAGGGTCCAGAAGAAACAGTGCATGCATAGCTATCTAAAACAATAAAAACAAACCAAGAACTAAGAGCTTGACAAAACTAAGTACAACATAATTAGGCAATAAAACAAACACTTTGTAATTATCTCAAATGACAAATATGCAGACCATATAAATGATTCATGCAGAAGCATATGCTCCAAAAAAGTGAAAAGGAAGATACAAAAATACTCATCACAATATACAAATGTACTAAAAATCAGAAGCACATTTGGAGTGATAAAAAATAGTGCATTCACAAAGCTACAGTAATCAAAAGAGTATAGCACTGACACAAGGACAGACGTGTATATTAAATAGGCTAGACCTGGGAGTCCAGAAATAAATTCATACATGCACTGATTTTCCAAAAAGCCACCAAGACCATTCAGTGTCGGGCCTCTCTGGTGGCGCAAGGGGTTAAGCACCGCACTATGAAGCAATTTGCAGCCTCTGCAGCATGAATTCGATTCCCGGCCGGCCAGGGAGAAACCCACATGGCGCAGCAGACCTCTCCTGACTCGCCCGCCGCTCCCTTCAGCAGTGTATTTCAGTCAGTCTGCCTGTTCTGTTCCCCACTCTGTCTCTGGTGGATCCTCTTACCCCTCCTGCCCTGTCTCTCTGGCCTGTAACCCAGCTCTTGTATGCATAAATAAATAAATCTTTTTTTTTTTTTAAAAAAAGGCCATTCAGTGGCAAGAGGATAGTCTTTAACAAATGGTGCTGGGACAATTGGGGATCCACTTGCATAATATGACGTCAAAAGCAGAAAAATCAAAGGAAAACCAGAAACATTACAGACCTTCTCCTACTTATGATAGGGCTATATCCCAATAACCTCATTCTAAGTTGAAAATATTCTAAGTCAAAAGTGCATTTAATACACCTAACCTCTCAAACATCATAGTTTAGCCTATTCTACCTTACATGTGAAAAATTTTAAGAATATACAAAAAGGGCCTCCCTGGCGGTGCGGGCAGTTGAGCGCCCGCTCTGTGAAGCTGTCCGCAGCCTCTGCAGTGTGGGTTCGATCCTGGCCAGCCAGCAAGAATCCCACATAGCAAAGCAGACCTCTCCTGTCTTGCCCGCTGCTCCCCTCAGCAGTGTATTTCAGTCAGTCTGCCTGTTCTGTTCCCCTGGTGAATCCTCTCACCCTCCCGTGCATTTGGCCTGTACCCCGGCACTTATATAAATAAAATAAATCTTAAAAAAAAAATTAAAAAATAGGGCCTCCCCTGGTGCCGCAGCAGTTAAGCACTGGGCTGTGAGGCTGCCCACAGCCTCAGGTTTGATCCCTGGCCGCCAGGCGAGGGTCCCACATGGTGCACAGACCTCTCCTACAGCGCTCGATGCT